TAGTATTTATATTAAGAAAGAAAACAATAAAGAATTATAAATCAATGAAATTATTATATTAATATAAATATTTAGAATAAATACTAAATTAAAAAGGAGATAATATTACAATAACTTCGAGTTTTGTATTATATAATCATTTATGAAGTTATATAATCCCTTAAATCCCTTTAATCCCTTTACCGAAAAGATCAAGAAGATTAAAAGGACAATTAGTATAAAGATCTATATAACTAAAAAAGGATTCCTTTTGTAAAGCTTCATATTTAAGATCAATCATTTAGTATACTCTATTATTAGTTACAAATTGCAATCATTGATATTACTTTAAAGCTCCTATTTGACACTTAATTATAAACCATCCGAGGATCCAGGCCACTTCCATATGATCTAGATCGCATCCCTCGTAACATATAGATTATAATAAAGTTCATCTCTTTTTTCAAATATACTTTATTTGATTTGTTTTTTTATTATATCAATTACAATTAATAGAAATACTCTAAATAAAACAAATTCAATTGTTTATTAAACTTTATATAGAATTATTTTGATAACTTATAAAAAAGCAATAAATAATTTAACTAATCCAATTTCAAACTAATCGAATATTAATACAATTTCTCGATTCATTAAAAATACAATAAAAAGTTCTTTTTTTCGAATTAAAAAGATATCTTTTATATTCAATTGTTTCAATCTTTCAAATATTAAACAAAAACCTTCAAATCAAAAGTCGAAATATAATATTAGATATTTTGAGAATAATCTTAACAATAAATATACAGGATCTTTAATACATTCATTCTCAAACTAATTCAAATTACCCTTTAGGATTCCTTTATCGATATATTTAATTTTATTTGATAATTTCATTTTGTTATCTTTTTTCTTATAAGCTTTATTAATAGAAATATATATTATCAAATTGATAAATATTGATTTATTATAAGCATTATTTTCGATTCTAAATGTTTCTAAATCTATATAAATATTGCTGGAATCGAGGTATTTTTGAAAGATTTCTATTTCGAAATCGTTTATATTATTAAAAATGTTTTCTGAATTAAAATCAAAGCTAAATCTGATGATACTTTCAATTAACTCTTTAAATTTTAAATTTATTCCAAATTTTGAATAATAATTTAGAAATTTTTGAAAGTTGATCTAAATATACTTCTTAAAAATTTCAGAATCTTGACAAGTATCTAAATTCTTTAAAAGATTATTAATACAATTTCTAGATATTATATCTTCTAATCTTTTCTTTGATTTATAATTCTAGTTTTCTTAATATTAATTAATTGTTTAAATCCTATTACTCAATAATTTGTTTTATTAATATTATTATTATCAATAATCTAAATAATTTATTTATTTTTTTTATATTCAAAATCAATTTTTTTTACAAAAAGATAAAATATACTAAATAGTAATAGATTCTTAATATTATTCAATATAAATATATTAATAATGTTTTTAATTTTATTGAAATTGATTTTGATATCTTTAATCAAATTATATAAAGTAATAACATTTTTATTTGAAATTATTATTATAATATTATACTTTTATATTATAAAGTCTAGATCTTTTACAATTTCTAAGCTTATTATATTGATTATCGATCCAGAATCAATAATATCAATAATTTTAATCTTCCTTTTAACAAATGAAATAATGATTATTGGTATATTATATATCTCTCTTAAATGAAAGCTTGATTTATCTATCAGATTGTTGATATTGGCTACAATAATGGAGATTTATTTAATAAGGATTATATCTACATTATTTATATTGAAACTAATAAATACTAATGATATTTATCTTATAAGATTGATTACCTTTTTCTTAGTTTCTCTTCGTTTTTTATATTCTTCAATAGAAATTTGTTTGATTATTTTTTTGATCAATTCTAAATAGTAAATGTATAAATTATTAATAGATATAAAGATTTTGATATAAGTAATATGTTTTAACAAATCTATTGTTATCTTTATAATATATATTGAGATAAATAATTGTTTTTTGATTCTCAAAATTTTATTACAAAAAGATCGGATTTCTTTTATAATTCTTTTTTCATTTAATTCGAATAATTCTTCCTCTTTCTTATCCTCATCTTTAAGGTTTTTTTCAATATCTATTTTATTATTTTATTTTTAAAAATCCTTTTCCAATTCTGCTTTTTCAATTAATAATATCGATTTTTGTAAAATTTGTAATACGAAAATAGCAGATTTTGATGATTTTTCAATTCCATTTCATTCTATTGTTTTTATTTGTTTAGAAAATTAATTATATAATCTAACTGTTTCTTTTGATTGAGAGATTGTATTGATATTGATCAATTGTTCTTTTTTATATATAAAGCTATTAACAAATATACTTTTGATAATATCGATATTCGAAATATTAACTTTCAGAGATTCTTGGTTATTTAATAATCCTGTATTATTCTATCGAAACTTGATACTATTATATATTCTGGATTACATTATAATTTATTGTTTTTCAGAATGAAATTTGTTTTTAAAGATTGGAGATATATTAGGGCTTCTTTTTAATCTAAATTTGAAGATTCTATAATCATTATAATAATACAATTCATTCTGAATATCTTTATATATAACAAAACAGTTTTGTTTAGTATTATAACTATTATTATAAAAAACTTATTTAAAACAATAAAAACAATATCAATCTTTTTTATTAATAATATTTATATTTATATAGATAGAATTATAGTTTTCTTGAATTAGAAATTTATTATACTTAATATTCCTTTCTTTTTGAAATATTTATTATTGAAAAGAAATATAAATATTCCTTATATTTCTAATACTTCCAATTTGAACTTGTAAATAATTTATATTTAATTTGTTTAGGAATTCTATCATTTTATTTACTAATTTATCTTTAATTCTCTTCTAAATATCAAAATTTGAAATAGCTTTTTTAGAAAATGATATTTTCATATATTCTTTTATAACAAACACAATTATAATCTAATATTATTTGAATCTTTTGTAAATCTTGATAATAGAATTTTTTGATATATATCATTTGAAGACTTTATCTATTATTTTCTTATAATTCATAATAATAAGATTATCAAGATCAATTTTGAGATTTCTAACGATCTTTTTGTTAATTTATATATATAAACTATATAAAAAAAGTCTTTCTATTTCAAATTCGATAATCATTTTGTTTTCAATAAATTGGTTTACAAAAAGAACAAATTTAGCAATGTAATCTTTAATCAAGATTGAATTCGTATTGTAAGATATCTTATATTTGGATCGTTGAATATCGATAAATTGATTCAAAAAATCGCAAATACTAATAATTTGTTGAATATCAAAATTATAAAAATAATAAAAAAAAGTTGAATAAAATCCCTTTTTCCAATTGTAATTAATAGAATTGTATTTCAATATAAACTTTATTTGAATCAAAATAGTTTTATTATAATATCAAGGAAAGCGAATTCATATTTTGTTATTGAATATATCACAATTAATTTGTAGGACCTTTTATATTATAAGGAAGTTAGAAACATTGTTCTTATCAAAAGTAGAAACATTGAAGCTTTTTATATAGAGTATAATAGAGTATATATATATATGATCTATAATACTTCAATCTGATATACAAACTTCTATTGGTTGATCTATATTATTATTATTCTTGGCTTTTTTGGCTTTCCCTTTTTTAAGGTTATCTTTACCTTTTCTGATATGATTTTCTTTTAAATCAACAAAGGATTTCTTATTAGAATCATAAGAAATAAATATTTTCAAAAACTTTTGAAAAGTATCTTCTAAACAAACTTTAGATTGATCAAGGTTTTCTATAATAATAGGATAATAACGAATTTTGAATAATGATAAATTTGATTTATATAATTATTGGATCAAAAAATGTATATCAAATGTATTTGAATCTGAATCAATTTTAAATTCTCGATAATCTTTATTGCTTATATTTTTCTTTTTGTAAAATTTAGAAAAGATAAAGAAGTTTTTAAATAATTCCTTTAAAGATATCTTTTTTTGTAAAAGGATTATATAGAATCTAAACTTTTTATTTAAGAATTTTTTAGAATATATCCCAAATTTTTGAATATCGATATCGGGGATAACAATTTTATATATTATAATTCAATTCTTTTAAATATTATTTTATGAATGAATAATAAGATACTTTGTTTAATTACAAAATATATAAGATTCTTCAATCCGATTAATTGTATTCTATCAAATTTATTTCAAAGTCAAGTCTTTTTTGCTTCTATAAATTATTAAGATCTAATTTTGAATAAAACTTTGTTGATACAAATCTTTTATATAAAATATAAATAAATAAATCAATAATAAATCGCTTATTTATAATATAATGAATTAACAAGAATAAAGATAATTAGAAATCCAAATCTTTTTTATCTTTTGTTTAACGTTTTTATTTTTGAAAGGTTTATTCTTTTAAAATCTATTCTATTTTTTTATCAATAAATGATTAATTTTATTTTCTTTTTCAATATAATATCCTTACAAATTGGTTTTGTATATTTTGTAAATGATATAATTCGATTTTTTTGTATAAATCATTATTGTAAAAATAATAGATCGAGATATATATATCCCGATAATATATTGTGAAAAAGGAATTGAAAGAGAAAGCTGAATTAGATTATATTGTAATATATTATTTATAGGTAAAATGGGATTTACAATAATTTTAGGGTTGATATTATATAAGTTCAAATGTATATATATAGAAGGTTGATTATTGTAAAAAGAAGAGGCAAAAGGTTCTTCTTTTATATCTAACTACAAAAGATTATATAATTGACTAATTAAAACCTTTATATATTTGGTTTATAATTCCAACTTTTTTATAATATTATATAAGATTAATATGATGGAGTAAATTTGAATTTATATTAAATCAATTGACCTCGTCATCAGCTTTAATTTTTAATAACTTTATCTTTAATAATTAATAAATCTTTTTGATAAATCATTGTAATAAAAGTATATAATTATATATATAATTATAATATATAATCTAGTAAAAATTCTTATATTATATTTTATTATAATTCAGTTTTATTTTATATAAAGAGTATATTTTTAATTTATAATAAAATCTTATATTGATCATTTTGAAATATATAAATTTGTCTGATATTAATTATTAAATAACTTTTTAAACTCTTTATATAAATCAAGATATAAATAAATTATAATAATATTGATTTAAAAAAAACAAATTTAATAAATATATAATTATTAATTTTCAAAAATTAATATATATATATATATATATTTATTTATATATTAATATATAATCAAATCTAAATAAATTTAATTATACTTTTGATAAAAGATATATTTTAATAAATCAAAGTTTATCTTTTAAAAAAATCAAATAATAAATAATACAAAATTAAAAATTATAAATTCAATCTTTGATAATGATAAATTAAATTATAATTCTTTTATATATTTGTTTATATTAATCTTTTCAAATTTATAAAAATATTGAAAATTCAGAAATATTATAAAATCTATATTCATTTTTAGAAAGATTATATTAGAATTTTTTTGAAATATTTGATAAAATTATTAAGATTTTATAAAATCAGGATTAAAGTTTTCTTTACCGAGATCTCAGGCTATACTTTTATCAGAAATTTTTAGTCTCAATACTTCCAAAGGATAACCAGAAAAATATACCCATTGTCAAAATTTGCAAAATATGAATTAGGTACTAATGACAATTCCAAAGACTCTTCATCTTTCATATCTTCATCATTGCGCTTATTTGATTCAGACCTTTTCTTCATCCTCCGGGGATACCCAGAATAGCTTTTTCAACCTCCTCTCTTTCTCATCTCTCATATATTCATCGAAATGCATTGCAACCGGATCAACATTTCCACCCTGATATGCCTCCGGAGCTAAGAATGCACATTTTTCGGCTTCTTGTGCAAGATATCTGCAAACATGCATGTGTAGCAGGATTGCAACACGCTGGTTTCCCCGCTCCGTCAGACGCCATTCCTTCCGAGGGCTTTCTTCTATTTGATATCAGTAATTGGAATTGAGAACAATGGGTTATTTTCACCGTCAAGGAAAAAATCTTGATCCTCTGGCCGTCCCTCAAAATCAAGATCGGTATTCAGCCAACCTGAGGTATCAAGCCAGAATACAGATTTATCCCCCTCAAATTGGAGCCGATCAACTACAGAGTGTGTTGATTGTTCTAGCTGTCCGCGAAATGGTCTCATCACAAATATCGGTATATCAACCGCTCTATGTTGGGGATAATCGTACTGCGCGGTCTCGGCCATAGTGGAGGAGTACTTGGGATATGCCAAGGTTCTGATTGCTCTGATTAGGGAAACATAGGTTTCTTCAAAAAGCACGCTCAATTCCCACGTCGTCAGATTGTATTGTTCATTATATATTCGGAATGACTCCCAGTCGGCATTACCGATGTTGAGAATCTAAGCAATTTAGGCCCATCTACTTTGTGTAAGTACAAGGGAGAGATATCACTTACCATTACATCAGGAATATAGGATTGAAAGAGCCATGGTTGCGCATATTGCCCAGAACCAAGTGGTCCGCTGTGGTAATTAGCAAGCTTTTAGGCGTTGGTGTTGATGGAGTTACCTTTGGAAAAATACATCTGCCAATCCTGCCGGAGTGCCTCTACCGCCGATACAATCTTGTACCAGGCACATCCCATCCATTCCAATAGTTACATGATCACTGCCAAACATCTCACCCGTCAAATATTCCCAGCCCATCACGCCCCCCAATATTCCATTTGCAAGATTGGAAGCTATTCGATGCTTTCGCCTGTCTAGACCTGTCATAGAACCAGGTAGATCCGTAAGAATCTCCAACATCTTGCGCTGCGGGGTATTTTGTCGAGGTAGGCCATTTATGGGAAAACCGAACTCTTCATTCGCAATATCTTTTGTGTATAATTGTGCTTTTGTGGTGGGCACCATTGGATCTTGTACTGGAATGAGTTGCCCATCTTCGTCTAGCCAGACTCCCAGAAATTGAAACGTTTCTACTGTGTCCCTGCCGACCATTGGTGCAATTATTCGGATGAGATGCCGAGCATGAGGATCGAGATCTTTTGTTCGAATAGCCACGAGCGATGTTGCGTTTGGAAGTATGACATATTCTTCATCATCAACTTGGGTAAGCAAAGAGATAGGCTCCGCGCTCGTGTGATCCAACAATGGTGGGAGTCCAGATTTCGCCGTTTTATTCTGTAAACTTGTTCTTTTGTCATGTGCTTTTTGTTCCGAGTTATGGAGGGATATTAGAATGGTACTACTTCCGTTAAAGGCAATATCGAGATAAATGCCTGAGAAGACTCAGTTAGCAAGTCACGGGTGAAGTAACAGGGGAAAATGCCTGGAAAAGATCCATCTTTTCTCATTCCATCCAAAGTCGAAGACCAGCGTCCCACGTACTGCATTTTGTTAGCACGGCACTACTTACAGGTCTATATGATAACATACACGTATGTAAGGATGACCTGCGTCGATAAACTGAAGCCCGCCCAATGCTGGTCTCACTGTGGAGATCCCGGTGTCGTATTGATAGAAGCGTACCTCTTGCGGTTGTTGACTCAACCAGAACCAAAAACAAATCATTAACAATACAGTGAGCCATATGGCTTTGTGGAGGTTCTCTAGGTTGGCTTTATAAAGCCTGTGATGCGTCTCTGGCTGCGCCTCCTCGTCGTAAGCTGGTGGTGGACTGCTGAAATCCACATCATTCCGCCAGTTCTCCATCGAAATTTCTGACCATGGTGATGTATCGTTTGTTTGTGGTCGAAGCGGTGTTTCGCTTGTTGCAGTCGGAGTTGCAGTCGGAGTTGAGAAAGGAGAGATATAAACCATCGTGAGCAAAATGTGGTCAAAATTGAGCAAAAGAGCAAGATTGTAGCAAAGCAAGCACCAAAGGAATTTATTGTGAGCAAAATACAACGATTGTATTCATGTTTAACTCGTTGATGGCGATATATTTGAAGATATAGCAAATGTTTACAAGTAGGAAGGTGCATTTTCCGAGAATCTCGCAGCTTCTTTTTTCAGAATTGGACGTTCCATATTTCGTAATTCATAGCCAATCCCGAAGCTTGCAAGCGGCCAAATGCTACAACTGATTGATATACGAAATACTTTTAGTTGGTTCCTTCTTCCTTCTCCCTCCCTCTCTCTTTTTTCTTTGATGAAACACTGGAATTTGCCAGTTGTTAGTCACCAAGGGGAAATACCCACATACTCATTTTTCCAATTATTTTTCCCCCGCCGCTCACTATCCGGAGGATGGCGCTTAAGGTCCCAAAAAAGCTCATTTTACCACTCGTAATATTCCTTTGGATTGCGATTTCTATCTCTAAACTCTTTTCTTCTCGATATGGAAAACAAATCTATAACCCCGCAAAACACGACACGCCGATTCGAGTTCCAATATCTCATCCATATAAGAACTACTCGAAGACTCCTGATCAACCATGGGCCCATCTAGGTAACGGGAATTTGAAGACGCTGCATACTTCCAAAAATGCCGTTCCACAAGCTTTATTACAACTCACCACACATTGTTCCCATCCAATCAACAAATTTACGAACCATCTTAGACTTCCTAATTTGCTTTACAACATTTCCATGCAGCCTAGACTTGGATCTCCAGAATCGAGGACGTTCTGGAATCCAACAATTTTCTCTCTGCCATACTGGGCAAAAAATCAGTATTTGATCGTGAGCATGGTGTACTTAAAGGACCGCGGCTATCGAGTCAATGTTTTGTGCGAAGCAAACATTTGTCACCCAAGGACCGAAATCGGTGGAGGTGTTCAAGAAAAAGTCTGTACGGATGAGGATATCGAAGTTCTCGGCAGCAATGGAGGGCTGCGATGTGAGAATACACCTATTGAAGTGAATGTCCCTCCCACCCCAGCAGAAAGTTGCCAAGGGAGTCAGGAAGGGCTCGCCGATATTCCTGGCTTCCATGATCCTAGGATCTTCTACTCTGGAAGAGGAGAGCCAGTATTGATGGTATCTTCTCAGTATGCTTCTTTGCACATTCTTTTTCCAGATCCTGGCCACTAAATCATTGCTAGGTCGCGATATGCTTGCATCGGGTTATGGTCTATTGATCTTCGTTCCGTATACTCTGAACTGGAGGAAGTTTTTTCATCTTCACCGAAACGTTTTGGAGGACCACTGAAATCTTATCCAGTCTTGACCGAGTTAACAAGAAATCCACCAGAAACTCGAAGATCATACGAGAAAAATTGGTTTACATTCTCGCCTACTCCCTCCTCGTCATACATCCATTATGAGTTGACTTCGTCAACGCGCACTTTTGCAAAACTGATTGGTAGTGGTCTCACAACAACTAACTTGACAGACCCAAACGAGATTTCCTGTCTCATCGATGCAACACCAGAGGAGATTAGACTCAACAGATACATGGCAAACGCTACTTGGCACCAGGCTACACCTGCATTGAAATTAATTCTTTGTACTAGAAATAATTCTACCTGTATTTCCGAGACTCCAGATACAGTATTCATTGCAGCCATTCATCGTAAACACAAAAACGTTTTGGGTCTGCCAATACGATACGAAAGATACTTCGTTATGTGGGCAGCAAAGCCACCTTTTAGTATGTTAGCCATGAGCCAACACCCTATTCTATTTTCAAACGAAACAACCACCGGCTGGACCGCCGAGGAAAGTTGGACCGATGTTCCAGAAGCTTTGTCGGAAGGTCGTGGATTTTGGGCCAAGCTCACTTATACCACTACTATTGCATATGCTTGGAGCAAAGACGACGGGGATATAAGAGATAAAGGTGTTGGATTTTTGAATGATGAGATCATTCTTAGTGTGGGTGTTGATGATCATGATCAGGTTTATGGAAGAGTTCCTGTGTCTGAGTTATTGCAGTGTTTGAGAATTTGTCCTGGATTGCTATAAGGCGGAGCACATAAACCATCCAAAAAAATTTCAGATATAAAAATCGATTAATATGAACTATGTAGTTTCATAATAGGGATTCGAGGGAGACAAGGAGAAAGAGAATGGCGGATTTGCAGAAGATGGATGATTCATGCATATGGAGATGGGAAAGGCACGAGTAGTGCCACTATACGCCTGTTTGTTGTCTTGAAATAGGCTATTTATAGAAGACTTACGATTCACATCTCATAATGGCAATTTTTCTACTGGATGTGTAAATAGGATTAGATAGTCTCAAAGTTGATCGACAACATATACGGTAAACAATGCATCATCACCGGTAAATGACAAAGCTGAGCGACTCGGGGATACAAATAACAGTCATATCTTTGGTAATTAATATTTAATTACTGAATAGGGGTTCAGAAGTTCGGCGAAGTTGCGGTCGGAAAATTTTATAATTTATAAATATTTAGAATATAAAAGAAAGAGTCTAGAATCGTCGGTTCTTTTTTTTTTTTCGGAACCCCGGAAGCGGGTTTCATGAAATGAGGCTTTTGTAAGTTCTGACATTTCTTTCCCCCTATATCGACCGGTAGATATAGAGCTTTTTGAGTTACAGAGAATATTTTGGATAGTGTAATGCGTGACGAGCTCCAAGCACTTCTTGTTTATCTGGCGTCGAGGAAAATTCTGTTTACTGCTTTTTTAGGAGATTTATATGTGTATCATTGAAGTACCTCGTTGAAATGACATTTTTTGGTGCACGTTCAACGTCTAGATAAATCAAGAAGGTCAATCTCTCAATTGCTGCTGGCGAAGTGGAACGTGGATTTTGAACCAAGCTTGGTTTTGCTGCTAGCTGGAGTTGTAAGTAGGAAGGAAACTTTCTAGAATTTAAAAGGTCGGATTACTTTCGGTGAGTAATATGTCTGAATCCGATTGAATAGTTGGGTTTTTTGTGCACAAAGGGGCATAGCGAGAGGAAGATAGAGCAGGCTGGATATGATCGGGAAGAAAGAGAGGGGAAGAGGGTAATGGTAGGTGAGCGTGAACGCCGGAGATTAAGATATATCGAAAGAGGAAATTTTATTGGTATGATGCTCCAAATGAAACCAAAGTTCAACGATGAATACAGCAGACACTAATATCATGTAATTTCTAGTCCATGGGGTTCATCCAAGATGAATCGCGAATTAATGCAGTTTAGGCTGTTTTCGCATGCGCGAAAATTTACGAATGTTTTTCTGGAAGTGAAAGAAATCGTCACATGCTGTTGCTTGAGATTGATCCGTAGTCATCTGAATTTGGTCTCTGGGTCAGACAAATTCTGGGTTTGACCCAATCATATTTCTACCTCTCATGACCTCCAGAATGCTTAGTTTCTCAGCAACACAAGGTATGACGGCTCATTTGTTGTGCCCGGAGAGTTTCTCTGAGGTTAAGAGCTTTATCACCGGGAAGCATTGGGAATCAATGAGGAGGTAGCGTAAGGCTTGCAGATATCGGCACCAGTTTTGGAACTATTGAGGGCAAAATGGCTGTTGATGATTTCTTTTGGGGATCTTAAGCGAATCTCAAGCAGGCGAGTCAACTTCACAACATCTATATACTTGTAAGAATCATCGTCGAGGTACTGTAGGATGAGTCAACAATATCTCGGCAAATAGTCACAAATTCCCATTATTTGTGACAAATCTGCTCACTGCTCTCGAATTTAAAAGGATTAGAAGATTCCACTTTTCTTTTTTCCAAAATCTGTTACGATAGATCACTAATAGATCAGCAATAGCCAACAAACCATAAAAAATCAGTAGTGGATAATTGCCAAAAACAAGAATCTCCAACGGCTATGCCTCCGTCAAGCCTTGAAGAGACCACTACTTCGCCCAACACTCCACCACTGACCAAAGCATGAAGCAGAGGCCGGCGGAACATCCAAGGAGTACATGGAACGCATGCATGGCAAACAGGCGGTTCTCGATAATCCAGACCTCGTTTCTCCTTTCGAGCCTATAAAACTTCCCGACTCATCCGTTTTCATGAAGCCTTACCTGACACTACCATCATTAGAACTGGTTTGTGCGCTTACTTTCGGACCACTCCCGGAGGAAGAGCTTGAATCGGCGGATGGGAAGAACCCTCTTCACAAAGAAGCTTTCTGTGATGGGAAACCTTTGGTCCCTTCGTTACTCGAACAGCCACAGATAAATGGTTTACTATCGCCCACGCAAGCTCCGAGCAAGACCGAATCGGCTTCTGAACGAAAGGAAACCATTGATATGCATGAATCCTCCGAAGCCATCTCAACCATGTATGTGATTCTCTACATAATTGTGCAGGGGAGCCGTCGAAATGAATCATGTATTCCCCACAATCATCAGGTATCCAGAGACCCCCGGAAGACTCGCCCGATTATCTTCCTCACCATACAGCTACGAATAGCAAGTATAAAGTAGATTTTGTCCATCCTTGCCGTGAGTATACACAGCTCTTCGAATCTCTTCAAAGTATGTAGCAATTACTTCGACTCGATTGCCATAATGGAGTACTCTTGGTACCAGAAAATCGCTCCCCGAATACTACAGTAATGTCAATCGACTGATTGAAGACGACAATTATGGAACTATTGCCACATATATGGCATGCTGCAAGCACAACCATCAGCTTTGGACCAAGATGCGTGATGAAAGCATGATCGAAGGACAGTATAGATTTAACTGTCGTATTTGCAATCATAGGTGCATTTCACTAGGTGGTAGAGTGGGCAGGGATTGTACCATGCAGAAGGTTTTACAGAAACGGGATTGTAGAAAAGAGTATGGAATGCCACTTAGGAGTTATGTGCGGGACTGCTGCCCTGATGGTCTCACTAGGGACTTGTACTGCACGCATGTTTCGAAAAAAGACGAAGACGGAGTTCTGCAAGAATTCGTGGAGGAAAACGGAATGAGTGACCTAGGTATGCAGTGCTCAAATTATCCGAATACTGTATGGATTCAAACCGATTAACTGAGTTGAGTGTCCACCGAATGGCGGATACTCGCTTATACTAAAAAAAGAATGAACCTTCGGAAGGTATTGTAGGATGCGAAAGACCTGTCAAGATGGATAACAATGGGGTCGTGTATGGAAGAGGTATTGGGCTTAAGAGATGTGTATGTAATCTGGCACTTGGTCGATGGTTTTTAAATAATATCTTTAACATAAAGTTTTGTTGTATGATCTGATCTTATCATTATCTTGATAGTATGTGAATTCCTGGGTAAAGGCTACTTCATTGGGCGAAGGCTTCTTAGAGACTCGAAACTATGATGGGTGTAATGCCAATCCAAGTCATACGATTTTGCGGAATGAGCTCACAATATTCCTCATGCAGACGACAAGAATTCAAGACAATCAGATTTGACTCAAAGTAAGAATCCAGTTATTGATTCACTCTTTAGTAATAGCATCGAAAACGAACGAAAATGTGAATTTAACCTTCCCAAATCTAACCGAAGTACGATACATTCATCATCCACATTAAAGTATCTCCTTCCTCAAACTACATCCTAAATTTGACATATCCAACATACCCACGAAAGAGGAACCAGCAGAAACAAAATAACCAAAAAAAGAATGTAAGGAAAGACAAATGAAGGTACCGAATCAAAAAATCCAACTATTCCATCCACCTCCTCTAATTCCCATACCACGGTCTTTAATGCTTCATTTGCGCTCACTTTCATGCGATCTGCTAGAAATTTTTTTTCGATGTATACGTTTCGCGGGCCTGATGGGTGGAGAAATAGGTCTTTTCCGTGAAAGCACTGCTGGCACCGACGTTTTCTGTGGTGGGTTTTCTTGAAATGGTGACACACGTCTGTTCGGTGTAGCAGTCGATGAGGTTGGACAAGATTGAGGTGCTCTTCCGACGAGAGATGGGTCAATTGATTGAGGTGGTTGCGAAACTGGAGGGAAGTACGGGATTGGAGTGAGAGGTGGTGTTGGATGACGTGGTTTGGTTGTTGGAGGCGAATCAATATCAGGAATTCCGTGTCTTTCATATTGACGTCTGGAAGGCTTGGGTGCCTTTATGGAGGTTCTTATGAGTGGAGATTTTGGTTTAGTAGGCCTGGAACTTGGGTATTTTACGGATGCTGATGACAGTTTGCTTTCAGATGCTGTGCTACTAGGACCTGTAGTCGCAAAAGATGGCTTGGAACCTGCTGCTTGCTTAAGGACCCCATAAATAGAACTCCAGGGCTTACCATTTTGGACCGGGTTAGCCACATATTTTCCACCGATGTTTGTTTCTTGTGCGTCATGATCGTGTGAAGTTGTGGGTTTATGGCCGAGGCCAGAAGATGCTTCTTTAGTCGAGGAGAATGGTGGTAGAGGCAGCATTTGATGAGTATCAGATCGCGGCTCTGAAGAAAATATATGGACAGCTGATGGGTCTGTCGCTTGATTTCCAGCATTCTGCGCGGGAGATAAGTGAGCGATGTCGCTTCCCGGCTCGTATATACCTCCTCCTGCCAACGGTGTATTAAAACGCATTTTTGAAAAGTCCGGGAACGTGTTACCATCAAAAAGATTTAGGCTGGGATGAAGATTTATTAGGCTTCCAAAATCTGAGTCCATGTAGGGCGTGTTGATTCCATCACCGGCCTGTGTTAGATTTGGAATGAAGAAAGGATTGCCTAGTTGCGTGTCGGACGTTTGTATTGCCTTGTCTTGAGTCAAAGGAGCGCTTTTAGGGACAGGACTAGACATTTTAGAAGATCCATCAATCTGCGAAAATAACTTCTCTACCCCAGGGAGAACTATAGGGCACGGTGTGGTGGATGGCGTTAGACTTTCTGGTGTTGCTACTTTTGTCTCCGAATGAGTGCCCGAGATTTTGGAGTCTGAGCCGGAGAGATGGTCGTCCATTTCAAAGTAATCTTGTTGGAATAGTGACGAATTTTTTGGTTTTGTATTTGTTGTTAATTTTGTGTTAATGTTGTGTGTTCTTCAAGAATGGCAACAGCGAAAACTTTATAAAGTTTTGACAGCAAAGATGCTAGCTTTTCTTCCTATAATTATTCATGATCAAAATCACTTTTTGGCTATTATTCAGTGCTTACTGAAAACCTCTGTGAGTAATGAGCTCAACCTTTGGACATTGATGATTCCGCATCTTGGTAATGAAGCCCACTCACATCAAGCGAGGGTAAAATTTATCATGACTAAAGAAAACTTTCGCATTTAATGACAGAGACTGATCTCGCATAATTGCTTTCCTTGCAGTCATATCGACAAGCGGCTGTCTCAGTGGTTGAATCTTCTCTAGGGTTAATACTTTCTGGAAGAATGATTAAGTTTAATAAGATTCAAGCATCGCATATCGCATGATTTATGTGCTTCCATGTCTAGAGACTAGTCATGCTTATTCTTCCTAAGATGATGATACTTTTTGCAAGAAATGATACTGTAGGATGAGGTTCTATCTTTCGCCGTTCTTGCGACAAGTTGCCTAGGAGTTGGGAATTTGGTGTACGGTAAAAGAAAATTGTGAGAGGCTAATCATCATATCGAAGAATTTAGTGACCTAATAATGTTCGCATAGACATAACAAAGAGCAGATAATACGGCATCCAATTTTCGCATTTCTGTCCGTGGTATGTTTTCTTCTATGAAAGTGCTATTAAACAGCTATTATTGAACAGCTGCCGATTCACAATCTCTATGGGTGTCAGCATGGCGTCGTTCTAGGAACAATGAATCTTCAATGTTCAGTATATGGAGTACGGCTAAGCTCTGAATGCTGGAGAATGGATGGCACTGTGACTTTCTTCGTCTCTTCCACAGGTCTTTCATCTTACAACAGTCAAAATCCAAAAGACGAACCCAATCAACGAATAATTTCGACATTGACCTCTGTACTCAGCAGCGTCCCATTCACCCTACAATTGGATTTATCCATAACCTCAACTGAGATTATAGCTCCTCAAACACCAAAGAGCTTATCAAAGCATTTGTTAATGTGTTATCGAAACATGGTTTCTCCACACCGAATCACCCCAATCCTTCCTGAGGGTATCATCATGAATGATCCTACCAACCTCGGCAAGTTCGACAGCCCTGTTGCTGATGCGCAAACCATAATGACATGCTGCAAATGTAGCCAGACTACCCCTCTCGATACAAGCGCTCCGGGAAGTACCTCCTGCTGTGCCTGTAGTCATTATGAATGCAATGATTGTGATTATTCCTAAACATTCACGAAAAATCGACGATTCTCCTGACAACGGGCCTCAACCGGTTGGAATTGAGAAAGATTGAGAAAGACATAATATAATTCAGCTATGGTGGACTTGCGGAAATATGCGTATCAGAAGTCCTTCTGGATGGTATAGAGGGAATGTCGCGTGGCGCTATGGAGTAAATAGAATAGAAATGCAATTGAATCATCATAACTTTATGCAGCTTTTTGACAAATTTTTGACGTAATCTACGAAAATTTTGAAATATATAATGTAACAGAAATAAATTCGTGAGCCTGTCCGAAAGTAAACTTCGTCTGTAACCATACAGACGAGAATGAAGGGGATGACACGATGTCGGTAAATTGATGCGGGACAGTCCTCTAAACTGGGGCTTCCCATCCAAGAACGAACCTCAGGCTGGACTAGGTACGATGCCAGCCTGATATTGCAATCTGCTTACTGCTAAGTGAACGTAATTTCCAGTTTTTTGGGGGGATGAAAGTAAGCATGTTTCAGGACGCAGGATGGGATAGTGCGTTGCTCCGAAGTTGAAATCAGAGCCAGTATGATGAAAAGACAACACGGAACATTCAATAGGTACAAAAATCATTAAATAGCACAAACAGGCCATAAATATAAAGGATATTTCTTCCAATCTTTACTTCTAGGGGTATAATAAATGAGCAAGAGAAGGTAATAAACGCGACTTCCTCGGATTTTTCAAAACAATTGGCCAAGCTGTTGCCCCAATTGGTGGAAACCATTACTACAGACAACAAGGATAAAAACTTGACTCTCCATCATTGAAAAGATGAGTCCTCGCGCCACCATCATCAAAAACCGAGAAAGAACTTCCTCGATATCTCCCCGTGGAATCACGAGCGTTCGCGACCGAGGAAGAAAATGCGCTTCCAGTAATGCCTAAGAAGAAGTGACTCTTGATCATAACTCCCATATCAATAGCACCTTGGAAATCAAAACTGAGTTTATTGATCGTCTTCAAGGTGTTGGTATCTTTTTCCGCCAGCTTCCACTTATGTGTGACTTCCCACCCTCTAGCCTTTCCAGCTTCCACGAATTTTAGCACTTGATTCTGATCTCCACAAGCCAGATAGACCAAAGGCTTTTTCTTGTCAGGTTTGCCATATTTTGCCCATGCGCGATCTAGCGCATCTAGATCTACCTGCAGCTGATTTTCAAGAGAGCTCCAGATTTGATCCGATTCAACTCTGAAATGTACGCCATAAAAAGGACGATCTATTTGAGCCAATAATCGATTGACAACTCGCCGAGGTGGCTCTTTGAATCGGACCAGATACCCCAGTTCATTCCACAACTTTAGCTCTTTCCCGGTCGGATCATCGGTGACTCTGAAGATCAAGAACTGTGGATTAATATCTATGGCAGTTATACCAGCTTCACGATTAAGCTTGTTGCTAGGGTTCAACAGGAAAAGCTGTTCTAATTGGGAATATTGAGCATCAAAAAAATCTTTGAAGCTCCTTCCTCTCCAGAAATATCCCTGGAATGGAGCCAACCCCGGAGCGGTTTTATCCGAAAGTTCTATTGACCAACGATGCTGCACAGTAACCTCACCGGAAACTATTTCACGAAGCTTGATAATTCGCATCTGTGGACAAACTTTCTTCATCTGCTCCAGTAAATGATCTTCTTCAAACCACTCGCCAAAAGTCATGATCGCTTTTTCATTGAACCGGTTGAGTGCTTGCAGATTATCTTTGTCGCGATAATGAATCGACGGTAATATGATTCCGTGACCAGTATCCAAAGCCATCTTCAAGCAAACCTTTACTTGAGACACGATTGTAGTCAATCCTGCAAAGATGCCAGTGCAATCTAGGTACACTTCGTTTTTTGGCCATTCTGTTTGCTGGCATTGTTGTTTGAGAGCCGGGAAGTCATAATCTGCAGGCTTATCTATTGAAAATACCTGTTCAAAGTACCTTCCAGCGTGAGGGTGTGCTGTGTAAACGGAAGAGAATGTGATGTCGGTAGATCGCATGAAATTCCAGCCATGATACAAGATAACACAAGATATGAAGAATAATGGGAGGAATCGGAGCAGAGCTCGAAGACGAACAACCATGGTGCATAGCCAGCATTGAGAAGGAAACGAAGTTTGAGCAAGATTACGGGGTGTGGGAAATAAAATTCAATTTTTGGCCCGGAATCCAATAATTTTGGTTGCAAGGAATCTTCTCTCGAAGTTGGAAAATATTGCGAAGTTACATATGCAGTAGTCCGTCCCCTGCCTGCAGATGCATTTGGCGGACTCCGCGGGGCATCTTGCGGATTTGACATCGCGGCTTCAGGGGTAGAGGAGCAAAAGCGGCATGAGCTTGTGACAGCAAACCAATTGTTGGTATTCATTTTGAACATATCAGGCTAAAATCAAACTCCTCATGCATTCCAAGGCACAATCCATGACATCTAATTTAATTATACAACGTCTAAAACAAGTATACCGATACCCAATATTCAGCCCCATATTTTTACAAACGAGGCGATGGTGCGAGTGTTTTCTTGTATAGCCATTGTGCAAACCTAACAGTAGGTTCGTCGACCAATTTTGTAACAATCTCCGCAGCCCAAAGAGTAACGGGCAAGATAATCAAATGCGGAACAAAGAAGCTAAGCTCCATGCCGAACGGTCCAGCTTTTGATATTGGAAAGATGTTTCTCCAGGGCCCCATCTCCTCAGACATTTCTTTTGACCAGCCTACCGCTGAATACAATCTATCGCCCAGAATTACCATGACAGGTCCATGCACAAGATAGAAAGCAAAAGACACATGTCCCATATACTGACAGAATCGACATTCGAAGAAGCTCTTCAGCCATGGAATTCGAGGAATAGATGCCACGAGAAAGGTTGCGGCGAAGAAAAGATAAAACCATTTGTAATCGAATACGGCCTGCGGCTTCAAGTACGATAAATAATACCATCCGGGAGAGTTTCGCAATACCTTAAGATCCAAATCATAAGTAGGCACGCCTCCAAGATACATGGCGGCGATAAAAAGGTTGAAAAAGATGAGTTCTTTCCAGGAATCGAACTTGGAGAAGAAACCGGGCAAGTCATCATTTTCGGCGAGTAAATCCAAATCGCAAAGAAGCATACCAGCCACAAACATTGCATTGTGAGCACCATCCGCAATGTACATGAAGTAATATATCAAACCGAGCTCGAGGTAGAGTCTAGCATTCCGTGAACATCTCGAGAATGCCATAAGTGCCGTGTAAATGGTGATAGACCCTTTGATCTCAACAGGTATTGACCACACGTGAACATTATAGGTGAACCAAGGGTCTCCTCCGGTTCGGAAAATATAACTGAAGTTCTTGAACTCCAGATACCATTTCCATACCTCGCTGGTCCACTTCTCTTCATGCTCAGATCTTGGTGCAGGATAGATATTGAAAATATGCCATATGGTGAGATATATAAGCGTCGTGGCGATCACTGGGAGCCATAACCGTATCCAGCGTCTGAATAATGCCGATGCAAGATTATCTCCAAACTTTGCCAAATCTCCTGATTGAATGAGCATCAACGGTTTTCTCGAGAGAACATATCCTGAAATAACAAAGAACGTGGTTACAGCGAGATGGCCACCGGTGAAGAATGTTCGCAGGAAAGGTAATTGAATCAAATAGTATTTTTTCTCATAGCCAAAACCCATCTCCATGACCCAATTGCCATATACTAAGGTGTGGGCCCATAGTTCATGATGTAGAACATACACCAAGAATGCTGCATAACCTCTCAACCCGTCAAGCCACGCCGTTGCATGGAGCGGTTTTGCCGGTGCTCTGGTCCTGCTTAGAAATGAAGGCTTTATAAAATCCGGGCATAGCCTTTTCGGTTTCCAGTATTTCACAGGTGCTTTGGTAGCGATTGGGGACAATAATGGCTGGTCTGTCTTGATTTCATCCATAAACCCAACATCAAGAATGCCCTGATATTCGCTAGGCATTTTGAAAACGACTATCTCATTTATAAGCTGGGAAAGCTTTCTAAATGGCGCTGAAAGTCGAATTTGATGAAGAAATCAAAGCTGTAGATGATTTTTGAAGAAAAGATGTTACGCTTGCATGCCATACAGCCTCAGAAGCATTCGGAGTTATGCAAGGCCCAATGGACCGAGTTTTTCTTTCATGCAGATGCTGCTAGTGCCGCTGCTATTAAAACCTGAATTCCAATCACAAGCAGTAATTGGCGATGTTTGGTTTTTTTCGCGATTTCCACCCCCGAGGTTCGTGCCCGTCGAATAGTGCGGGGTATCGTCCGTATCAAAAGTGGAATATTGGAGGATTAGCGGGAATTCCCTCACGGCCTTTCATCATCTCCATGGGTAGTACCCTCGTACCCTTACCCTAAGATATTGTGTCTTTGAGTTTTTCTCAATCGTGATGCGGGTTTGTCGTAAGCTGACTTCGGAGGTAATATGGGATATATGGTTTAGCGCCGGGAATGTAAACTGTTTGAACGATTCGATTAGCCAATGGCCGGGAGAAAGGCCGCTTTGTAAACCACTCGCCAGTCATAAATCAAGCTTTACAAGATCCGTCACATGTTTACCGAGGCCGCTAAGATTACATCGTTACATTTTAGCGGGATATTTGCTAGAGTATCATGCATGGACATGGACATAACAGTTAGCCCAACTCCAAGTCATTGATCGGCAATCAAAATTGCCTTAGTGTGCGGTACTTAGTTCCTATCTAAAAAACCTTCGCATATCTATGCACTAACGGGCATAGATTTCAAGTAACGTTGAACAGGCACCATGTGAACAACCCTGACAGCCCCCTGCCAAGTCAAGCCACCAACTTTGAATTCTACAATCACAAGCTTGTGAAAAGCAGAATTTTTGATGAAAGAAGCTTCCCGTTAGGCCTTTCCCCCATATCTGACCTTGAATACTTCAGGCTAATCGAAATGTCCCCATTTTGCTGCTCACCTTCTGACGTCCCATTTTCCGCACAAATTTCCTAGGTCTAATTTGTCAATCCATCAAATTAGTCAAAAAATCCTCGGGAATTGAAGTTACTTTCTTCCATCCGATTTTTTTTTGGAGTGTATTAGTTGAGTGTTAACATGCGACCGTTCCTCCCACATGCCGATTAAGTTCAGATCTCAATGCTACAATAATGGAAAACTTACGAAGAACACGATCACGGAGTATGCAGACGACCTCCCAATTCGGAGGTCGTCTGCCGAAGCAAATACAAAGAGCTTTGCCTATTTATGCCATTCTCATCCTTTTAATTTTGATTATCTCAAATGTTGATACTCTGAAATCATCTACGGTATCGCATGCAAAAAGGTCGACACAGAAAGTTCTGAAAGGCGTCACAACCTCAGAATTCCCAAGGAAAATATGGCAGACATGGAAAGTTGACCCATTGGGTTTCGCTGAAAGGGACCTTCTGAGTGCCAGGACTTGGACTCAATTAAACCCAGGACACAGATACGAGGTTTTAACAGACAACAATGATATGTATTATGTTGAAACGAACTTCGGGCCAGATGGGTTTAATAGGCCTGACATTGTAGAGATGTATCGGTCGCTGAAGGTACAAATTATTAAGGCTGATCTTTTGCGCTACTTGATAATGTACGTTGAAGGTGGTGTTTATACCGATATTGATGTCGAAGCGTTGAAGGCAGTCGATACCTGGATTCCTGATCGATATCCTGTAGGCGATGTTGATATGGTTGTAAGTGTTGAGATCGACCAACCAGATTTCAAAGACCATCCGATTCTTGGTCAAAAGTCGCAATCCTTCTGCCAATGGACTTTCATGTGCAAGCCCCGTCTTCCTGTTATGTTAGCACTTGTCGACAACATTCTACTGTGGCTACAAGATATCGCTGCGGAACAAAACGTTCCAATATCAGAGATCAAGCTCGATTTCGACGAAGTCATCTCCGGCACAGGTCCTTCAGCATTCACCGGTGCGATCTTGAAAGAAATGAGCATAAAGACTGGAAATCCAGTTGATTGGACCACGTTTCATGCCATGCGGGAATCAAAACTAGTTGGGGGATTCCTGGTTCTCACCGTGGAAGCATTTGCTGCCGGACAAGGACATTCAGATTCTGGGAATCACAATGCGAGAGGAGCTCTGGTAAAACATCATTACCATGCTTCGGAATGGCCTTTACTACACCCTCGTTTCAGTCACCCAATATATGGCGAGGTTGAGAAATGCAACTGGGAGCCGGAATGTGTCAGGATATGGGATGAAAATATGGCTGCATTTGAGGCGCTGTCACCGGAAGAGAAGGAACAACAGATCGCGATCAAGAAGGCATTGGACGAGCATGATGCACTTCATGCGCAGATGGGCGCTCAAACATTCGGTTCGAACGCATTATTAATGCCCCAACAGAATCTGAATCCGATACCGCAAGCAGCGATTCCGCAGCCACAACCAGGATTCTATCCAGATGGCTCACCTGTGAGGAATTTGGACGGTTCTATTATGAGAAACCTGGACGGCTCACTACCCGTAAATCCAAACGCGCCGCCTCCGGCACAGAAACTCGAAATAAAGGACTTGTCCGCTCCTCATATTGATCCGAATCTTGCGCTACTGCAGCCAGAGTCTAATCTCGAGTTCAACGACAAGAAACAAGAAAAGAATGGTGACCCCGCAAATGTGCAAGCAAATCCAGTAGGCGAGATGCTACTAGGAGGTTCGTAATCGTATACGAGTAATGGAATGCGCACTGTTATAGATGATATCAGAGAGACAACAAGATTTTATGGCACATGCTTTAGATTTGGAGGTTTTATTTTGTCTTAGAGCAATCTAATAGATTTCTAAGGGTGCGGAGGAGGACTATAATGAGAGAGGAATACGCCTTGAGGAATATCTCGGCTGTCTGAATGGTTATTATTGTCTTTTCCTTGCTGGGAGATGAAGCTGGAAAGAGGTGTTTAATAGCTTCAAAGGAATGATGATACTTTCGTATTCAGTTGGAGTTGGGGAATTTAATGACTGGCGAGGACTTCATATGAAAGAATTTCTCTACGATTTATGGATGTCATTTACGAAGTACATAGCATAAAACTCACTTTACACAATCAAACCACATTGTATCTTTCATCTACGAGCCAAACAAATAGTTAATTTCCCAAAAACACTATCTTCATGATTGATTATCGCCGTATATCTTCAGCATGGGAATGCCGGGACATCATTTAACGTTCTAGAACCAATTGCCGGATCACCACAGAATCAGCCACCGCCAAAGAGGCGAACACCTCACTGGATTATTGTCCATTAGAAAGAAGAGACATCAAAGACAGAGGCCAAAGCTACATTAATACTTTTGATCATCTGACATCGATCAATCGATGCGGGGAAACACCTCGGGAAGTGCGTGGACCATGACCATTGTTACTAGGAGCAAACATAGATAGCTTCGAACTACTGGGCTCGGCTACTTGCTAGTCTTTAGGAAAACGGACTATCCTTAGTTTCCGTCAGCCACGTTGATAAAACGTGGGAGAATTTCTGATGGATGATTAATAATGTTTAAAGGGCGAATGTTGTACCTTACGCTTTTTGATTTCGTGATCTGCTATCAATAAACTAATGCTGAATATCTCGATTCCTTTTGAAGTTTTATAGGCAAGAAATACATTATGGCGCCCCTAATATCTCGGGACCGGCCAGAGCGGAAATTTGCCATATAAAAGGAATCCGATTCTTGAACACGGTTCACTCGATAATCAGGTACACTATGATCCGGAAATCGGGTTCGATATAGACGCGTGGAACAGTCCTAGGAATATTTACAGATGAACCATAAAATGCGGAGTAGCTAGTGCTATGTTGCTTTTTCTTATTTTCAATGACAAATAGGATGCTGCGATGCTATGGATTGGATAAGCCGCTCGGATGATGGACTTACCCCTTTTTAAAAACCCTCAGATATTTTAGGGATCAACCCAAGAATTTGTAAGAATTTTCTATATTAATAGTCAGCCTGAACGCTATCCATATGGAAGTAGCAATACCACGAGGCTGTTCTCCATTCTATAAAAAAGAATTAAAATTAAAATTAAATTAAAAATAGGTAGGATATCAATCCAATATGATTCCCTTCGCAAAATCCTCACAGAGGAAATGAAAACCTCTGTTACACACCCAATTTTCTTTGTATCACCAAAGATCTACTCCGTATAACGATAATCTAAGTAAGATTGCAGTAAAAGGCCCATTTGCATCTTCAAACACCAAATTGTATCTTCAACCTCAACTATTAATGTCCAAAAATAAACTAACTTACATGCGTGCAACAGTAAGAATCGTTGAAGAATCACTCCTATAGGGCTGTCAGTGATCTACGTGCAGTAGCGGGGTAATATCGGGGCCTATGGATATTCTGCAAAATATGCAGGTGTAGACACTGCGTAAATGTAATGCTGACCACCGTGTGTGATTTATCGTGAGTAGAATTACACCCAAAAGATCAAGAAATTAAATTTGCAAAACGAGACCATTGAATGGATTTAAGGTTGACACCGGAAGAGGAGGCTGGTGCGCTAAGGCGCTAGTGCACGATACTACGTTGGGGGCAAGACTGTTTGTACTCGGCCTGTCAACATTTGCGTATCAGTCGATACTGACTCGAGGTACATCATCCTCCTCCGTACAGCTGATGCCTATAAATCGTCTTGAATGAGAAAAAGGAGACTAGATGTTGGCATCTAGAACCGGTTTTGTCTCCAACTTCTCCACTATCTCACCGGGGAAACCACGTTTTAACCACGAAAGAAAATCTTTGTGGCACCCCTTCTACTACGATATAAGTCTTTGATCACGCTAATATTCCTGAAGATCTAGTTAATTTACTGTTCTCTTTTTATTGCAGGTATGGACCGCTCAGCTGTGCGGCGCAGCGGCAGCGTTTACTGCTCATCCGACCACTGATGATCGCTCGCTTCGGCTTCGTGCAGTAGTGAAACTGGCAACAATAGAACCATCTTACATGATACCATATTCGTTTTGAGCGATGCGGCTCGCCTCGATGAGGTTCTTACTTTATTTTCGTCTGAAAAACCCTTCGCCGTGGCATTGTGTAGTGGGGTCAAAGATACCATTATATGTAGCTATTTGCGGATCCACACATCTCAACATAAATTCGATGGTGTGGGATGATGTAGGCGCGTCTGGGCCCGATCAGATCTTAGGATGAAGTTAAATACTTCATAGCTCAGGGTGGATATCTGGATGTTTGATAACTTGTCCACGTCCACCGCCGTTGTACTCTGTTGATGTTCCAAAACATTTTTTACTGTACAAAAGTACTGTGACTTGCGATAGGTCTACAGATCTTCTACCTTTTGGTATCCCACCGCAGTACACATCATTAGGTGCCAGTATGAATCCTCAAACTCATCTACCTACCAGTACACCGGAGCCGGAAGAAAATACATCACAATATGGACGCACATCCTCACCAGAACATACACTTGATGAAAACGAAGACTCAACAATCACTCTGAGTCCATCGCCAGAGGATACATCAGCCGAATCAAAAAGTATCGACTTGAAAAAACCTGATAAGCAGTCAATTGGACCCGAATCGAAGAAAAGAGGATGGAGATTCTACGGAAGTTTTGCATGTTTAGCAATCTTAAACTTAGTTTGCGCCGTTGATGCAACGATTCTCTCTGTGGCTTTACCAGTAAGAAGACTTTGATTCTTTCTTTCTATGCTTGTTCATCATGACTTAAACTGACTTTGGTGAATGAAGACCATTGCAACAAGTTTACATGCCACGGCTATCCAAGCTTTCTGGTGCGGTACATCATTCCTTCTTTGCTCCACAGTCTTTCAGCCTACATGGGCAGCTTTCTCGCATATCATTGGTCGTAAATCGGTACTCATGACTGCACTCTTCCTATTCTCCGTCGGTACAATACTTTGCTCTGTTGCCAAGAACATTGAACTTCTCTTGGTAGGAAGATGTATACAAGGTATCGGCGGAGGTGGTCTCGTGGGATTGACTTATGTCCTTCTTGCCGATATGGTCACTCTCCGCGAGCGTGGTAAATGGATGTCGATTATTTCACTTCAATGGGCGATCGGATCTGTGATTGGTCCAGTCATTGGTGGTGCGTTCGCAGAAACGCTAACATGGAGATGGATCTTTTGGTTGAATATTCCTTTTTGCATTGTCAGTGCTGTTGGTATTCCGATTTGTTTGAAGTTGAATATTAAACAAGGTTCTATGTGGGCTAAACTTAAGGCTTTTGACTGGCTTGGGTCATTTCTATTTGTTGCTTCTACAACCAGTCTTCTAATTCCTCTTACTTGGGTGAGTTACTTCAGCATCATCTCTTTTTTTGTAGTACTAATGTTCAAGAAGGGAGGTGTTATGTATTCCTGGAGCTCTGTCCGCACACTCGTACCACTGCTCATTGGTATCGGTGGCCTCATCACCTTTCTCCTTTATTCAATCTTCCGAAAGGGCGACCCCTTAATCAGACGGTCACTTTTCAACTCTCCCACAGCAATTGTCGCCTACTTCGGAACACTCGTCCATGGCATTTGTGTTTGGTCCGTGCTCTTCTACATGCCATTATACTTCGAGGTCGCCAAAAACTACACTCCAATCCAAGCTGGCATTGGTCTCTTTCCCCTGACATTCACAACCGCACCAGCCGCCGTAGTAGTCGGACTCATCATTGCCAAAACCGGTCACTACCGCCCCTCAATTTGGGCAGGCTGGGCTCTCACCACGTTAGGACTTGGTCTTCTCATCCTCCTTAAAGAATCCACATCAATAGTATCCTGGATGTTTATCAATCTCATCCCAGGCATTGGATTAGGCACTCTTTTCTCTGCTCAAGGTTTCGCCGCCCAAGCTTCAGCCAGTAACGCTGATCTTCCATTCGCCGGAGCAATGTATTCTTTCTTCCGAGCCTTTGGCCAAACAATCGGTGTAGCCATCTCCGGCGTCATATTTCAAAACACATTCCAAAAGAAGATTCTCAAAACAGCTTATGCGGTCTATGCGAACAAATGGTCAAGAGATGCATCCGCATTTGTCCAAATCGTGAAAGCATGGCCAGATACTGGCGCAGAGGGAGAAATGAAACAAGTTGTTATCGGAGCCTATGTTGACAGCTTGAAGATGGTGTGGATTGTTATGTGTGCATTGGCTGGATTGGCTTTTGTGACTAGTTTGGTCTTTACGAAAGAGATTCCGATGAGTAGGGAGTTGGAAACAGATCAAGGGTTTGATTATGGATATACCGAAAGGAAGGGAAAGGGGTTAAGCCAAACAATTATTCCTATTACGCCGCAGCGTAATGGAGATGAGATGGTTTAATGATTTTATGTAATGAAGTTATGATGGTATGATGTATGATATCTTTGAATATTGGTTTTACTTATGTTGAGAGGGGCGAATTCGGTATACATGCCGGCGTTAATGCACAAGGTAAAAGGAACAGCGAAATACCCTCATTTGGAACGAAATCATTTAGATACTTTATTTATGGCGTATTATTTATGGCGTATATTTATATCAAAAATTATAGTAACATATTAGTGTTCATCAAATTAGCTATGTGCAGCAAACTAGCAGCTGACATTGTGTTTAATAAAATGTGGTATATAAACAGCTATATAATTATCGTCCCAATTATGGCTGCTTTGTTCACACTTCTCGCGAAATCACTCCTAAATATCTAATCTGTACACTTCATTCTAACTTTTCACTTCGCTCCCGATGTCGTTACTGAATACCAACTTTCCAAAACTTTTACTTGAATAAATCCCGCCAACCTTTTCTTTCCACCAGCTACTTTCCTGTTCTTCTCCGTGGAACCCACTTCACACGACCATAATCTTATAATGACCCATCAAAATAACAGAATACTCTACAAATCCCAACATTTCCATCACATAGATATTTATGTATTTATGCAAACGCATTTCCATTTCCATTCTCATTTTACATCTAATTCCCACCATCACCTAGCATCTCACTACCGCCTACCCAGCACCCCCAGCCAGATCAATCACTAACAAAACGAACCGAAACACGAGAGAAAATTCGCGTTTATGACAAAAGAGCCGATGATCAAATCAGAGGATCGTAGCAGGTATAATTGTTAAGATCGACTAGGCTTGTTCTAGCGGATGCGATATTAATGCTCTGTTCTTTCTGGAGGATCAAAGAAATGAGGGTAGCTTGGTTGACTGATTTATTTTGACGATGATGCATGGATTGGATTGGTCATACGATATCTGGGAAGGGTAACTACAGTGACTAATCAATCTATCAAAGAAGATGAATTATCTTATTTTGAGGAAAATGACAGAATCTATCACATGTCAAATGAAATAGTACGACTGAAAAAACACAAAGCCTGTTTGTGTATGTCTAAGTAAGTCTATAAAAACAACAGGATCGAAATATCTATCTATATTTAACTCCTCCCAAAACAAGTCTCTCCATTTACTCTCCCCTTTCAACCAACCAAGCATAATTACAACTCTCCCCTAATACTCCTCTCCAACACCTCACTCTCCCCACTCTGTGCCACCATCCCCCTAAAAACCCCATCCTCTATCTCCAACAATTCTTTCGGACTACCAAACTCAGCCGCTACTCCATCACGCATAACTAATATCCGATCGAAATCAGCTACAGTACTTAATCGATGCGCTACAACTAATAATGTCGTGTTTGCGAATTCTTCACGGATACTGCGTTGGATTAATGTATCAGTTGTCATATCAACAGCAGACGTAGCTTCATCGAGAAGAAGAACTTTTGGTCGTGAGAGGATAGCACGTGCGAGACAGAGAAGTTGTTTTTGGCCTTGGGAAAGGTTGGCACCAGCGGAGGAAATAGGGGATGTAAGGTTCAAGAATATGTTTGTGTTTTCTTTGGTGGGGGATTCGGTGACTGTGACGGTTGTGGAGCTACTTGATGCGGCGGTGGATGATTCGGCTAGAGTTTCGAGTTCCGGGACGGGAGTGTTGTCCGCGGAAGGGATGAGGTGGACGCGTTGGAGGGCTTCCTTTAATTGTTGATCGGAGAACTCATCGAAGGGATCCAAGTTGGAGCGAATGGTGCCGGAGAAAAGTACGGGATCTTGGGGTATGATTGAGAGCCGGGTGCGGAGGTCGTGGAGTTTGAGAGTAGAGATGTCGACTCCGTCGATCGTGATAGTACCAGCTCGGGCCTCCAAGAAACGGAAAAGAGCAAGGGAAAGTGTTGATTTTCCTAAAATATCATTAGAGTTGTACAAGTAAAACCTAAGAGTTTTTACTTACCAGCACCGGTCCTTCCAACAACTCCAACCCGTTGATTTTTATCCACAGAAAAAGTTAATCCTTTCAAAATCGCCGGTAATCCCTCAGCATACCCAACTTCTAAGTCTGTTACTTCTATTTTTCCTTCTTCTGGCCACGAAGCGCGAATATTATCTGTTCCGCCCTGAGGTTCCATCTCTAATTGTGTATACTCGAAAATTCTTTCAGCAGCATTCATGTCGAGCTCTGTTGAAGCAAGCAATCTAATAGTATAAATGACAGCCCGTCTATAACTCAATGCAAATGCAAGTGCAAATCCAGCCAGTGACGCATCAACACCATGAGTGGAGACAATAAATGCAGCCACACACGACGAGAAGAATGAACCAACCAATGCCATACGAAGTCCAAACCATCGATTAAAGAGCCAATTATGCCAGGTTGCGGCTGCAAAGGAGTCTACCAACTCATGCATCTTGGATTCAAAAACCTGTGCATTTGCAAATGCACGGATGGTACTCAGACCCGCAAGAGCTGATCCAAAGTGTGAAATCATGGGGGACTTCTGAATCGATTCGAGGCGTTTGAGAGAGCGTGCACCTTTAATATAAAGGAGAGCGATATAAGTGCAAATACCTAGTAGGATCACTGCGATGATAATGATATATGGGGATACAAAGAATCTAGGGTTTCGTTAGCGGTGCAGTTAATAGAATACGACAATCAACTCACGCAGATACCATGATTCCTATGATTTCAAGGAATGAAGAAGCGGTTTGAGCAAAATTTGTGGAGAGTTGCGAATCCATGGAAGTGAAATCTGCCGTGAAACGATTCAAAATCCGACCTGTAGGAACAGTATCCAACCATCTCAAAGGAGTACGAAGTACGATATTCGTCATCTCTTTGAAGACATTCCTAGAAGCAGATAGAGATCCACGATAAATGAAGTAATATCTACCAGTGGCGACAAAAACAGAGACAGCCGAAATCAGGACATAGCCCAACAGGTAGTAGCCCAATGTATGGTCTTTTGAGAATGGATTGTTCAATTTTGAGACGAAAACTGATGGTTGAAGCTGCTGTTGCATGGAAGTCATGTAAGGCAGATTAGTAGAATTGAAACTGGACAAGTTCATCTCAGAATGTTCATAGGATGATGTCCATATCTTGATCCACCAGGACCTTCCTATGATTAGAGCTTCGGCGATCAAGTAAAAAATGATTACCAGTCCCCAAAAAGGAATACCGCCAGTCGCCATAAGGTATTTCGTATAGACGCTTGCCTTCACACTTCCAGTTTCTCGTTTCTCTTCTTCGATAAGTTTTTTGGGCTTGGAGGCTGGTTCATCGGATGCTTTCTTGTCACCATTTGCCTCGGATGCATTCGCCTCCTCCTCATCCGCTACTGCAGCAGCTTGCTCTGCTTTGATGATTTCCTCGAAATTTCCTGTCTTTTTGAGCTCATCAATAGAACCGGCATGTTCGAGTCCTCCATTCTTCGATAGCTGAACGGCGTAACTAGCACGTGGAAGACACAACGATACGTGGTGTGTTACTAGGATTCGCGTGCGGCCTTGGGATAATTCTCCCATGAGTGCATTATCATAGATCTCTTTCCCGACGTGTGCATCAAGAGCCGAAAAGACGTCATCGAGAATCAGTATTCCAGCACGGGAGTAGAAAGCTCTTGCTAAAGTCAAACGCCACTTTTGACCACCACTTAAGCTTATACCTTGAGCACCAACTTCCGTCAAGTCGCCGTCATCAAACATGTGAAGATCTTTTGTAAGGGCACATGCGTCAAGTACTTTTTGATATCGTGTGGAGTCGAAGGGCAAACCGAATAGGATGTTGTCTTTGATAGAAGCATTTTCGATCCATGGAGTTTGGGAAACAAATGCTATGGCGGAAGGTAGGACCCAATCTGCGGCTGTGGCTTTACTGTCATGTCTTTCATCGGCTTGAGGTGGTCGAGGTACAGTAATATTACCGGATAGAACTTCAACTTCACCTAATATGGCCGAAAGAAGAAGCGACTTGCCAGAGCCCGTAGGTCCCGAAATAACACTTAGAGCATTGTTGGGAAAGTTAAGAGTAAGATCTCTAAGAATAAATCTGTCCTCCTCTTCTGATACCTTGGATTTTGATGGGAAGCTGACGGACACATTGTCGAAGGTAATGGATTCACCAGGGTATGTATTTTCTGGCTTTTCCGGAGACTGAAGAAAAGAATCAATTCGATCACAACTTACTTTGGCATTCATCCCCATCATAAATAGGAACGGAACCATTCCTAAGACACCTTCAAGTTGCATGAATACGCCCTGTTTTTCAGAGGAAAGTCAGCTATATCATTTCTTCAGTTCGTATCCGACAATCAGTACTGCGAATGGTGAAACCAAATTCGCCATATCTTTGAGCATGTGGAGAAGCTCAGGAATATTGACGTTAAAAGAAGGAAACAAGTAACATACCAATGCTGTAAATGCGACTGATGGTAATAAGTCTCCGTGGATATAAGAGTACGTAGCCAGAGCCAAGACCGTCAGGAGCACCGGTGCCACATTTGAACCAACCATCATATATAAGTTGTTGATCTTAGTCTTCCAAAGTTTCCCAATTTCTTCTTCACGAGCTTCGAATATCTTTTTGCTCCATTGAGTTTCGTTGGCGGAGAACTTGATCTGTCGGATACCATTAAGTGCCTCGGTGACAATAGTAGTCTTCTTATCTCGAGCCTTCATCAATTCCCTTTGAAAACCTCCATATCTCTTTGCAAGGGCTTGATTTATTGGTGCCATGCCTATGATTGCTAGCATACTGTTGTGGATCGAGGAATCAGTAAGTGGCCATCACGGGTACATTTTGAAGAGAAACCAAAAAATCAAGCTGTGTTAAAAATGAAAAGAATTTTAGAGAAAAAAAGGAAAGAAAAAACAGTTAGGAAAATATAGAGTTGAGATCGGGGTAGAGAAACAGGCGTGAAAAGCAGCAAAACTTACCCGGCAGCCGTTGACTCCCAACCGACTAAGAGCCATAAAAAGACAACCGAAACAAGGAACTTGCAGAAAAATAAAATGTAGAACTGATTGACAGCGCCAAAAACGCCGACTTGATTTGCGTCCACGGCAAACATATTGACAATGTCTTTGTCAGTCTCGAGCTTTTTCTTTGTGTCCGCATCCTTCCCTTTCTTAGCGTGTGGCGCATGAGGTCCATGGTCATTCGATGCATCTGGCTTTGCCGTACCATTTGCATTTCCAGGTGCATCATCAGTCTTAGGTAAATCTTTTGTCTTGTCTGTTGTTGTGTCCTTCTCTTCTGGCTTCGGAGGCTCCTTGCAATCCTTCATCTTCATCATCTTTTCGAATATTAGCGATGTAAGAGTTGATCTAATGGGAATTGCAAGATCGGACCACATCAACCAATTAATTCGGTTGTCCATCAGGGTTTCAGCAATTGTAGCTGCGAAAAGACCAAATACCCAGATCCACGCTTGAGGATCGATGGCATCAAATCCTTGACGAGCTTCGAGGTATTGAAGTAGTTTTAGCACAGCAAACTGTGGCGCAGCGTCGATAATAGACGAGATCATTACCAACACCCATTGAGTAAATATGGCTGTACGGTATGCCCAAAAAACTTGGAGCCATAATGGAACTGTTGACTTCAATACAATTGATTTGAAAGAGTCTCTAACATCTTTCGAACGGACATGTCCATCCATAGCAGGGAGATCCGAAACCTCAATTAATTTTTCCGAAGCGATATCAAGGAGCTCAGTGCTCCAATTGAAGGCATATCTATTCCATAACGACTTTTTGAATTGTCTCTCGACAACCCTTCCATCAGGGGTAAAGACATCCGGACGGCGCTCGACGAAGTAGAATGTTGCAGCGCTGAAGGCAGCAGCAACGATTTGGAGGGCTGTAATAATGACAAATGCGAGGCGGAAGGGGGCTTCGTTTGGAAGGGGCCCCGATAGCACGAGACATGCGAGAACAACTATCAAAATACATGAAACGGAATTAAATATTCCTTTTTGAAATTTTGATACAGGATGAATTTCTCTTGAAGTTTCCAAGATCTGAATGAATGCGAAAATCTAATAATTGTTAGTATAAGGTAGACCTTATTTTTCCATGGGTTAAACTTACCCAGGATACGAATAATAACCAAACTTGCATCAAACATAAATCCGAGAATCCCTCCTTCTTCTCAACAGTAGCAAAAACAGCCGATCCAAATGATACCAGAAGTCCCACAATGAGAGAAGTGAAGATCATCACGAATTGAAGTTTGGTGGAGTATTTTGCCATGGAATCTTCCGTAGCCACCCCATCTTTGTCTTCATAGAGAGCTTCATGATTGGTCAATTTGGGTGACTTGAAGTTTCTAGCAAATCTCCACGCAGTTGGTATGGTGAATAGTCCAATGAGTGTAGGAGCTGCATAAGACAGCTGATTGATATAAGAATCCATCCGTCCACCTATATATGATGATAAAGTCCCGTAGTCATTGGAATTGTTTTGCAGATATTTGAGGATTTGGATGTGATCCTTATATGAAGCGGTGTATCCGTAGGCAACCGCGTTGATGACAAGGAGTGAGATATGTTAGTAATCGTGAATGGTACGAGCAAGGATTTTGATGAAGTACTTTATGTTTTGACGCCGGTTACAAAAAAACTCAATGATAATTATTTGGGAGCCTGATATCGATGTATGATGGAAGTTGTATCTTGAAAAGTAATAATCATCCTTTTGTAGGATGAAACCGGGATAGATATCATTGACTCCGACCTCCCGAGCCATTGCTTACAATTATATTTGCTCCACAAAATCTTGATGATAGGCCAATGAGGTTACACGATTGCTCACGGTTGGCAACTTCAAGATGTGTTGAATAGTAATCTCATAATTGATCTCCTGATTAGATAATGCTTTCGACCCAATTGCTTGGGGAATAGGTACACCAGTAGGTAACATATGAAATGAATGAATCTCCGCATCTGCATACCCCGCACAAGAGAGAGATACAAGAAGGAAGTTGCAAGATGTGAAGATGTGACGGTGAACTCTTTCCACTTCACGATTGAAATCACCAAAATACCAAGTACTCATTCCACCGAGTATTCGACGATTCATTAACAAACAGCACTTCAAAATGTCATCGGCTGTAAAAGGGCAATCTCCGCCAAGAGATGGCAATTGGCATGGTCGGATTGAAGTAGGAGGACAATTCCCTCCCGAAAAGGATAGATACCACTTATACATTGGTAATCATTCCTCAAATCATAGCTGCCAACTGTTCTAACAAGTGTTTGCTCAAATAGGACTCTTCTGCCCATTTGCCCACCGAGTCAATCTAATTCGGCATCTCAAAGGCCTCACTTCCATTCTCCCAATATCCATCGTGAAACCCTATCCTAAAGGCGATGACAAAGGCTGGCCTGGTTGGAAATTCGCAACAGAAAAGGATCCATACCCTGGCGCAACTGAAGATCATCTCTTCCAGTCCGAATACCTTCATGATATATACTTCCGGGCCCAGAAAGATTATGAGGGGAGATTCACAGTACCCGTTTTATGGGACAAAAAGACAAGTCAGATCGTTTGCAATGAGAGCTTGGAGATCCTGCGGAATCTGAATACTGGATTTGACAGCCTATTGGATGATGAATACAAGAAATCGGATTTCTATCCTGAAAATTCGGCCAAGGAAATCGACGAAATTGGAGAATGGATGCAACGAGATATCAACACTGGAGTGTACAAGACTGGCTTTGCGCCGGATCAAGAAACATATGACAGAAATGTTGTGCCACTATTCAGAGCCCTCAATCAAATCGAGGAGATCATCAAGAAAAATTGAGGTCCATATGTGTTGGGTTCAAAAATTTCAGAGTTGGACTTGAGGTTGTACCCAACAATTTGTCGCTTCGATGCCGTATATGTGCAACATTTCAAATGTAACCTTGGAACCATTCGCCATGATTATCCGGTGTTGAATGCTTGGTTGAAGCATTTGTATTGGGGGATAAAGGGATTCAAGGAAACAACGGATTTCAAACATATCAAGGAGAATGTAAGAAGTCCATAACGTCTAGGATGATTCGAGTCTAACGATAGTCAGTACACGAAGAGCCATCCGAATATTAATCCAAAGTCCATTACACCAATGGGTCCTATTCCTAATGTCGAGAGTGGTGTGGAGCATGATTGGAGCAATTTGGTAGCAGGTAGGGTCGAAGTAAATTGAAAGCTGAATTGGTTGGTTTAGTATCGTCATGTAGGTCCCCAAGAATCCATTCCTACCAGGAAATCTACAAATAGCCATCTAGTAGTGATGCAGTCTCGTTTGGGCTTTAAAGTAAAGAACCCTTCAGTGATTGAAGAATGCCTGCGCATTATTGGTGTTGGGAACACTATTGTTCTACATTTGTCACAATGTGGTTGCTATCAGTATTGCTTGCCGCTAACTTGACTGAGATGTCAAGTGTTTGTCCGCCGATTAACAAGTGGACGTCACTAGAACCTACCTATCTCAACTAGATTCCGGTCAGCCGTTTTTGGTTTCCGGATTTCTACTTCTTACTGCCTATGATCAATAAGTGAGTGATATTTGTTCTATCTCAAAGCAAGCAGCAATGCTCCAAAGTTGGTTGAGTGATCCGAGTGATGCAACCGTCATGAGGACAGTATCTATTGGACGATTGTTGTTGCTAGACGCGTCTATACAAGTACCTACATGAGCCCTATCCATCCAAGACCATGCAGCATCATAGAGTCACCTTGGTATTCCCTCCTCAGGCCATCATACCTATCAAAGCAAGCATAAGGTGAGATGGCCGAGTCGGTCTAAGGCGCCAGGTTAAGGTTACAGCTTAACACAAGATTATTACCATCTCCTGGTCTAGTAATAGGCGTGGGTTCGAATCCCACTCTCATCATATATCTTTTGTTTTTTGCCGTCTTTCGGGCTTCTTTCTTTTACTCTTTCACAATTTTTAAGTAGGATGAATGACTTTAAGACTCCAAAGTCGGATGATTGAAAGAAAGGTGAAAAAATATTAGATGAATGTGGAGTAGGAGAAAATTTTGTAGCGTTAACGCTTTTCTAATTTGATAGTGGCGTTGGTGGGGACTTTTTTTTCCGCCAAGGATTGTGGGCGGGAAGCGGAGTGGAGTGGAAGGGGAGGGAGAAAATATCAACCAGCTCCTATTCAATGTTATTTTTCGTTAACTTCGTTTGTGAATTCGTCATCATATTTCTTGATGTATAAATTTCTCGTATTTCAACAATGACTGTTGGCCGAATTGAATTTGTTTAAAAAAAACTCAAATCTCAATCGCCGGCTCCACTTTTGGAGGCCCTCCAGACTCCTTTCTCCCGGACCCACGCAATTTCCTGGGCAAAGGAGACGTTGGCTGTGTACAGAAGTCTGATGGCGATTCTCTACGAATACAATATGTGTGGTTTCATGTACCTTGCTTACGATAAGACTTGGAATTGCCTAAAATATGTTAGATGGCTCAGCTCCTCTGGAATCACAGTCAACACATGGTTTGATCGTACGTGAGAGGGGCTAAAAGGTAGTATAAGGTCTGTCAAAATGAGCTAATTTCTAGATTTGACCCCTTGGCATCATGTCCCTAGATGGCTTTTCTTTGAATTTCGTACTAGATTTATTTCTCAATGCTCCACTGCACTACCTTTTCTCCTCTTCATGCAGGATCGCCATCTTCCGCACTAGGAAATGTCCGTACACACACTTCACACCGGAGCCCATGAGGTCCTCATGCATTAACGTGTCACGCAATGACAACAATCGTAATATTCATGGAGGCTGAAAACAATAGACAAGCGTTTGTCTTGATATTGGTGCACTCAAATACATCTGAGCTATTAAATGCCGCACTATTTGATTGAGGGCCTCCTTTCTGGTAAATAGTCATATATAGGTATATAAACTGTATGGCTGCAGTTGAGATTAATCCATCAGAAACAGCAGTCTCTCCAGTGAACTGGACTAAGAATCATCTACTATTATTATCAAAGAACTCCTCTTGAACTGTTCTATTCTGCTTCCTTCCTTCATTCTACGATCATCACTTTATCTGCTAAATCACCACCCTTCGACAATTTGCCCATCAATCCATCAACAAATACAATCATAAAAACAACCAGTTAGTTATCCAAATACTCAAGGTCGCTTCCTACACATCAAGCAGCAAAGCACCCACAATAACTTCTTCATCAATAGATACATCAACTCACATCCTCGTCATCATGGGAAGTAAAAACAGACGTGCTCCCCCAGCAAAATCCATCGAAGTCATTCCCAAAGAACCATCAGAAATCGAAACTCACCTTGGAATGGTTCTAAACGGCAACATCCTAGCCATCACTATCGACTACTGCAGCCCAGAAACCTCAACCTCAACCTCAAAATCACAATCCATAGAATCTCTCCTCAAAATCCTCCCCGACTACGCCCCATGGGCAAAAATCATTCAACTCAGCATCCACGCCGACATCCCTTCCAAAGAAAATCCCAACATCTACCTCACCCGCATCAAAGATATCAATTCCATAATAAAGGAATTAAATAAATTCAAAAAAATTCAACAAGTTCACGTTAGGACACTTCTTGATCAATACAATTTTTCACAGATGAAACTCGCGGCTGCGATGTATGGATTGAGGCAGGGATTACTATGGCGTTTTTCGTATGTGGTGAAGGGGGAAATGCCGGTTATGGTTTCTTCGAGTGATAATGTTATGGGGAAGCTTTTGGAGGTTTGGAAGAAAGAATTTCTTGGGGGTTTGGAGGTGCTTGGGTAGAGGTTGTTTTCTGTGAAAGGTTTATATATAGGGTTGGCTGGGGTGATGGGACTTGAAGGGTTTTTTATTTTTAAAAAAGAAATCTTCAAGATTATGTATGGATCGGTGTAGTTTTGGGGAGTGGGCAGATATTTGTTCGAGTGTTGTGGTAATTTGAAAGCTTTCTCGTAAATTCTTATGGTTAAAGTGAAGTTTCGAGTGTGAAATAACTATGGGTCTATGAGTTTATATGCTGATAGAAAATGATCATCTTGACATTTTGGCTCAATGAAATTATAAACTCCATGAAAGCATTCGAGGCTACGTAATTCTAGATCTCGCACTGCAATAAATTAGAATAGAAAGAAAAATGCTAATACACAATGATAAAGATCGGTTTTTTTGGTTTCTGTATGACCGGCTATGAATATCTCCCTCTTCTGCTTCGCTGGGAGATGAAAGATCCTTTGATATACTTTCTGACTGGATAGTTGATGGAATAGATGTATATATGCACGAGGATGGACTTACAGTGTGATATGTACAAATAATAATATAATTCATAAGATTATCCTATTAAATACCTAGCTTGAGTGTCAAAATGCTGAACTGCCGTCGCTTAATCACGACTCATATCTTCTAACTCGAGTCTCCATAGAACCCTCCATTACCATAGCATCAAACAAAAGCACACGAATTCCCTTTCTTCACCCGTAAACAACCCAAAAGTTCCATCTCCCGTCCAACCCCTTCACTCAACAATCCTCTCCAACCCCCCATTTCCCACAATCTCCCTCCAATAAACCCGCACCAACCACCTCATAAAACAACACTCAGGCTCAATCTCCTGCAACCCCACCTCCTCCACCCCCTCAACCCTATACGCCAAACTCCACTTCATCCTCCGCAACCCATACAACCCCGCACAAAACCTCAACTGCGAAAAATCATTCGCCCACTTGCCTATCACGAGCGTCATATGAAGTTCCTGTACTTTTTCAAATTTGTTTATTTGGGAAATGAGCAGTTTGAAATCGGATAGATGATTGTTGTATTCTATGGTGGAGAGGGATCTGTAGGCTGAAGTTCGGATGGCTAGTTTGATGGTGTGGGTGTAGGGTGTGTAGGAGGGGAGGATCGAGGCGAGGATTTTCATTTTTGAGAGTGTTTGTAAGGGTGTGGGGGTTAGGTCGATGGTGATGGTGAGGTTGCCAGACCAGAACATTATGTTGCGGTGGTATTGGATTTTGTCCAAGGGAGTGGGGAGGATATTTTGGGTTGTGTTGTTGTTCATGGTGGAAAAGTGCGTGGCTTGGGGGATCAGTTTTTGATGGACGGAAATTGTGAGAATTGGTGATTGGTTTGGTTGTTGTTGTCCCGATTGGAATTAGGAGTGTCGGACGTTGCGGAGAAGATGGGGGGGGAGAAAGGTTCAAGTAGTAGAATGGAATTATATTCAAGGAACTATGTTTAAAGATACTGGGTGATTGCCGATACAGCCTATCCAGAACCGTATCTAATTGCAACTATTGCGGTTTCTAAAACCTCAAATACACTGCTCAATACCGCATATTGTCTACCGTCACCGTAAACTTATGTATACACCTATTTACCAAGATCAAACTCAGCGTTTTTGACGGCACGGAGCCGTACATGGTCAAAAAAGTAGAATATGCATAATGAACAAAGCATTACAAGTGAACATGAAAGTTACTAATAAGCATCCGTATTGTTTTCTATAATTAATCTCCTAGCCGTTCTCTGCTGGATAAACTGGCTGCAAACTCGGTCTCGGTACTTGTTTTCTTTCAAACATTCACTCTACTTTGTGGAATCTCGCTAACGCATTTTGCGATGCAGGAGGCCGGCAGCAGTGCAGTTTTCGCTGTTTGTGAACCACAAACTCATCTCTATGTTACTCTGTAAGAGAATTATTCTCTTACAGAAATATAATTCATTTCGCGATACATGGTTAACATAAATTTTACGGAGGGGAGCGGCAGTAGTACGGTCGTACCTTAGACAGTCGCACAAAGTGAATTCAGCGCTAGTGCCACCTACCCGGCTGTATTAGATATAAGCGTATAGCAAATATTTCACCACAAAGACTTATATAAGGTGCTCACCATACCTTCATCATCCATCTCCCTTGCACACACATCTTCATCCTTTCCACTTGCAACAAATCACACTCCAGATCCATCAATTTGAGAACGATTTAGATCACAGCAAAGATATCCACCATACTATTCACTTCATCAAGAATACCAAGACTTTCTCAACAACTTATTTCCTCAAAACAAAAAGATCTTAATATGGCTAGATACATTGATCTCCCCGTAGATTGGGCTACACACAATGAGATTGACGTCTCAGCATTGGAGCAATGCGTCCACAGAAGAGATGAAGCACCCGAAGGGTGCACCTGCGAACTTTGCAACAGCGAGGAAGACCATCTTAACGGATGGGGCCGTCTCGAGAATCGTGCTCACACAGATATTTCTGCCAGACAGGCCAAAGGATGGCTTGATATGTCGGCTCCTCTTCCTGGACCAGTAATAAATAAGGAATTGCACACCAAAACCAACAAAATTCTAAGTCTCACCATCGACTACTCTGGTGATAAACAAACCGATATGTCCATGGTCCTCCGCCAGCTTCCAAACCATTGCTCATGGACCGGGATTCTCGAACTCATTATCCACCCTGGTCGTTCTCGTAAAGAAGCTCCAAAGCTGTATGCTAACCACGTTGAGGAGATCAAGGCATTGGTGCGACAAATTAATTCATCGCTGTCGAAGGTGGAATCAATCCGTTGTCATTTCTTCATCGACTATTTCAGTTTTTCGCATTTAAGATTAGCGGCTGGATTAATCGACCTCGAGAATGACAATTGGACTCTAGCTTATGTGGAGGCTGGGGAAAAAAATCGCATTAAGGATATTTATAGGAGGGATTCAGTTTTTAAGAGAATTGAATGTGTTTATCGGGAGGATTTCGCGGAATAGGTGGGGATATTTTATTGGGCTGATTGAGTTCTGGATTTGACACGGGAGAATTCGGTATGGACCGCATGGTGGAGGGTATTTTAGAAAGTTCTCGTTAATTTAGGAGTCGGTTCCGCGCGCTATTAGGGGGGTCTAGTTTTAGCTTTTATTTAGGCGAAGCATATAGTAGGAGTTAAAGGTTCAATAAGATGAAGCTTGACTTTTCAGTAAATCTACTTTATTTGACTCCTAGGCTATTATAATTATAAGTACAGATATTTCCCATGTTCCTCAATAATTCATAAATGTGATGTTCAACCCATATTAACTTGCCATATTTTTCAGTTTTTTATACGCATTCCCTCTGTCCAATACTCGCTATTGTTTCACCTGAATTCTTTTTGCTCTTATGAACAATTTCATTACTCCTCCCAGAAAACAAAGCTTTATTAATAATTAAATGATCATGATAATTCTACAGGTCAATGATGTTTGAAAATTAAATCTTTTGTTCGGCGCCTAGAACTAACTATCTAGGCTTGAAATGACTAGAAATTTCAAATTCTTGAGACATACGAAAAGAAAAAATATATAAGCTTTGTTCCTCTGTCTCCTTTGAGCTTTCGAGGCTTTCTATATGTTTTCAACTTGTGGCCTTTGTGAAAAATTCAATTGTTCCACAGTTCCTTTGTTTTCCAAGGCAAAGAAGTAATATTGATATTGAGGTTTGAGTTTTGTTGTTAATGCTGGAAGGATATCGAATAAAATGGAAGGGTTTCCGTCACCTTCATGTATCTAGCAGTTTCTCCTCATTAGGAAACAGTTTCAATGTAACAGTTCATTGTGAATTTGTTTTGCAGTTTTCGATTCTCTCCTAGTGACAGGTTAGTTGGCTTTCAATTACATTGCGTTCACATGGAAAAGAAAGGAAGTGTTGTGAATACTCAACTCTCATATTTAAATCGGATTAGTCGTATATTCTTTTAAAAAAAACTTGATATTGTATTTGTCAATTTGGTTATGCAGAGCAGTCTATCGCATGTTAAACAAAAACTCCTACTCCTCTGTGTTGAAAAAAGTTTTTCCCAAGCGTTTAAAATGCGTGCATTCTTAAGTTTCAGATGATACTGTCAATTTGTAAGAAAAGAAAAAACTCACCTCACTCACTCACCTCGACTCAGATTGAATCTCCATCCGATTTAAAAGGGTCTCTTTCATGTTGGAGTAGTGGTTCCTCTTCTGCAACCCAAATTCCCCGGGCCGGGGGAGCGCGGCCTCGTCTTTCAAAAGATGCGAGGCTTTCGTCCCTGCGTTCTTCTTCCGAGTCCCAATATCCTCCGAGTTGAAGATAAGGAAGGGTGGGAGCTTGGCCTCGTCCTTCAAGAGCTGCAAGAGTTTCGTCCCTCTCCGCCTCTTTTTGGACTTTTTCACGAACGCTGGTACGGTTGCGGATGAAGTCAAGGGGAATGCGGGCTTGCTGTCTGCGCCATTGTGGAGATTCTTCCATGTGAGTGGGCTCTCTCCGTGTTTGGAACTCCTGAGGAACAGCCTGTGCCGTGTGAGATCGTTGTTGATCGGGCTCTTCCGGTTGGGGGGTTCCTTCCAATTCTGGCAATTCGTCGACCCATCCAAGCAACACGTCCGACGTGAAATTTGCTCTTGATTCTTTACATTTGGAACATTCTTCAATCGAAGTGAGTCTGATAGGCTCGGATCGTCCCAAGCTGAAAAACCGCTTCAACCCCTGCTTCAACCTCTCGGGTTGAGGTTGGTGAAGAGTGCGTGTTCTGGATGCTCTCGAATCATCAGCCATTCCCAAGCTCAAGATGCGCGTCAAAATTTTCTTGGGACCTTGGGAAGGCTCCTCTTTTGCGCGTTCCGCTGGAGTTTGTGATTTTCTGACATGCCCGCAGGAATACTTGGTGTGAGTTACAGTCATTTTTGTCATGTTGATAGTGCGTTTCCTGATTGTTGATGACTGTGGCCGTGATGATGTGTGATGTTAATAATCTTCAAGGATACCGCTAAATCTAGAGGTACATATACTCATTTGCAGACCCCTGTCCAGATGTTGTTCATATGCTGTTCAGACACTATTGAAACACTGCACATAATGGAAAGATGAAGATGGACTAAACACAGCTACTTGTTCTTGGAACAATGGTGGGAAATAACTCTACTCACTTTGAGGTGACGTTTCTTGAAGATTAGCATGATGTATATTTTTAATTTCGTTGATTTGCCAGCGAAGTACAGTTGTTTCTTATTAGTAAAATGGTATGAATGAAGGCATATAATTAAACTTGACAGTATCAGCGATGTGTCTCTGGCATCACAGGTTTATTTAACTTTATTACTTTAGGATGAGAAACATTCTAAGACGTGATTATATAGGGTACCTTCCATGCCCGGCGTCTCAAGTGTCTATTAACTTGAGAGAAGCATCATGACTTTACGATTTTACCAATTTCATCATGTGGGCTTAAGATCTTTCGTCCTATTACTTGTGGCTTCGAGAATCCCACCGTCGCAAGGTGATTAGCGCAGCATTTCTAAGGCTCAGGTCATTAATTGGGCGGGTACTTAATCTACTTTATGCATGTGATTCTTCGGCACATAACTAGTAAAAATTTCTAGAATTTTTACTTTCACAATCACGTCCTGGGTCAAGTAGCTTCAAAGAGTCTTTTGATAGGACAATAATAGCAGGTTTGTGGTTGTAACCTTATTCAAAAAAAGGATTGCTACGGCAGCTATGTAGTTCTATATGGAACATACTAGATAAAACTCTTGAATGACCTTGATGGAGTACCTCTACTCATAATTTTCTTTCCTGTGGCCTATACTTTACTTCCTACGACATCTATTCTAGCCATTGCCCCATGATGTCTCCAACTTACAATTTCCAACATAAAACCTCCATATAAATATCATCATTCATCTGCATTTTCAAATCTCCAGCACCTGTCATAGGTTTGAATTTACTTCAAATCCCAAGCAAGACCAACCGATCAAGAAGATTTGTAGGAGCCGCATTTATCTCCGGAGAGACTACCGGCAAGTCAAATTCCTTCACAATCATCTTATCTAATCTCGCAGTATTAACAAGACTTAGCAAGCATGGACAAGAAGAACGCTTCAGTCACAAATTGCAATCTTCCTCCAGTCCTCCCCAAGCCTAGATCAAGTATAGAAGCACACGAATCGCTCCTTTGGTTAGAGAAGGCACGATGTCTGCAAATAATCATTGCATACAACGAAGATAAAACTCAAGAAGAGACTGCTCTTTACATGGCTATTTTGCTTGATCGCATATCTGAATATGGACCATGGGCCGATAAGCTCGATTTTCTCATTCACCCACGAATTGTTCGCTGCTGGGAAAGTCCCAACATATATGCTCAGCACATTCGCCAGACGATGGCTTTAGTCAATCGAATCAACCGATCTTTTACTGTCCTTACATATGTCAATGTTCGACTTGAAATTGACTATGCTAACTTTCAGCAAATGAAATTGGCAGCTTGCTTTATCGCATTGAAGGTGTACTGGAAGTTGAGCTATTACGTCGACGGCATATTCAATCTCAACGAAATCGGAGCACACAGTCACCTCATGAGACGTCTTTGTAGTGTTTACGATAGGGATTGCAAGGTATAGATGGTCATATTGTATGGCGATGCTGTTGAAGGGGGTGGACGTCTGATAGGTGTTGTGATTGGTCGGGATTGGACGGGTTATATTTTTAGAAATCGTTTTTAGATTCCTCGGATTAGCGAGATGGCTGGGCAATATTTTAGTTCTTTACCAATTTGGCGCAAAATTTCATTACGTTTTATCATGCATGGGAAGTTACAATATCGATTTTCTTTGTTCAGGCAGACTCTTTGTGTAGCATGGATCGACTGAAATTACGTGAGAACCTTTAACACCTCTTCTATCATACCATTTTAAAGGTGTATATTATTAGGAATCTATGAATTTTAGATGCCAAAGTCTTTGCAGATATAGCCCCTCAAGTTAAGTATTCGTGTGCTCTCGTAAGATCACAAGAAGTGCGGAAGGGTCTTCCTTGTCAGCAGAAATTTAGACAATCAAAGCCGATTGCCTCGCACTCCATGTTGTTTAGCTATTCTCCATTGTATGGGCGGTGATAATACACCATAGTTGATTCTATCTATTCTACCATTAACAAATATGCGAACACTGACAAGGTCGGTTCCCGTAAACAAAAGAGGTGTCAAGAACAAGAAAGAGACAACTTTGACAAGTCCCAACAATGAATTACCTTTCTGCACATCAAGCGCAAAGACAAAGAATAACAATGCGTGAACATTATTTGAACAATAATTTTGTTTATATAATCTAGCGATAGAAATACGTTTTGCCTTATTGTGACTGCTTCGGATTACCCACCAGCACTAATTTGCAATTCAACGAGCAGGACCAATAATAATTTCCCCTAGCATTCCAATTCAAACTTTTCAAGTATGAATTACAGGGATTGGTCGATGTTTACAAGAAATTGGTCTTTCGAAACTGCAGGCTGTAGCAGAGAAGGAATCGAGTCTATCGACCCCCTCTCAACTACGCCAGAGGTTCTAGAAGGTGTTTTTGGCGAGGTACAAAGCACCAAATCTACTAATGTCCAGCAATCACTTGCAAGATCACATGTAGCGCTAGTGCCGGTCGTGAAGAAGGAGCAGAGCCAAAAGGACTCAGCAACGATCTCCTGCCACCCCGCGATCAAGTACGTCAATCACAGCTTGATCGTCGTACTGAATTTCGCACCTAATATCGGCCAGAAATCCACCGATATTGCCTCTCTCGTGGCAATACTCCCACAGTATGCCGCTATCACAACCTTCATCCACTTATCAATCCGCGATGTGCCTCTAGTCAGAGACACCTTCGAGAACTACTGCAAGCGTATGGAAAGTATCAACAGCGTAGTCTCTGTGCTAGAAAAATTTGATAAGATTGAGCACTTCCAAACCCAGGTGATCGGTGGGAATAGCGTGGTTCCACTTAAATCAAGTTGTGTTGGAGATGGTGACAATGGAGAACCAACCAAATATACTGAAAGGAGAAGTGCAATCGGAGCGAGACTTCGACAACTTTGGCGAAGCGAATTTTGTAAAGCCTTAGATCAGGAAGAACGTGATCGCACAAATAAGTTTTGGAGTGCCCTTGAATGAAGCTTCTCGCGTTGCTGTGCACGTCGGAGGGTTGACTCCTTCTCTTATATAATCCTTTTTGACTAGAACTATATGACGATTTTAACCCCAATGTCATCGTGATACATCGTACTACAATTGTGAATTTTGTGAAAAATTACTCTATGTCTTCTAAAAAGGTTCAATGTCCACAAGATGTCTTTGGAATAATTCCATTCTGCGAGTCGGTATCGTGAAGGCATCCCCTCATCATTTAGTAGTCAAAATCGACACAAAAGATCGATGAACCTGCGAATTGCTTTGTCTGGTCAACTGTACCAAGAAGAGAGATGCACCTTGGCCTTCCTACATAAGCGGACAATCAGAGACAGCCACATCCTGAATTCAATTAGAATATTTGAATTTTGGAAACTGCATTGCTTTAAAAAATTAAAGCTCACGCACGATGTGCTAATTCAGGAGATCCTGCCGTTCTGCTCTTCTTGTCCTTTTCCTAAGTCTGAGGATCATGAACTACAGTATCAATCATTCCTACTTCCGCCTGTATGGCGTAGCTCCGCCAGATGCTCGTATTATCGCTGCCTTGCTGCAACCATTTCGAATGTAGCGATATCATCATTGATTTATACCGTAACATCAAGTTCCATTAGTAATAGCGTAGAACGCTGCCGTATAGTATAACTTTCAGTTATACTGGTACAGTCACAGATAGCACTAGACACTAGTAGCTGTTGGCCGTATTGGAGGATGTCTATATAGTGATGATCCTTCTTCCTCACAACATCTACCTACAATTAACATAAACACCACTTCACTAAAGAACAAAACAACAATTCATACCAGTTTCTTTCCTCAGCCCGTCCCCTACTTCTGTCTTCCTTAAGCCAATCAATACTATCAAATAACTACGCTTTTCGCATTTCAAAATGGCAAGCAAGAACGATCGCACCAACGCCACTCAAGCCATGCGTCCTTCCACCGCTGCCTTCTTCAATAATAACAAAATCTTCAATCCCCCGACCGCCCCTGCTGCCGATAGGCCTAGACGCAAACCGAAGTCCGTCATCGATCTCAAGGCTCTAACCCAACATCCCTTAATCGAAATCATCAGCAACAAAGAAATTTCGATTTATGTTGAGATGTGCTCTCATGCGGATGAATTCGAAGAGTCCACTGACATCTCGACCCTTCTTGCCGCATTGCCTGAATACAGGTCAATCAAAAAGTTGTCTCTCAAGATACATGTGCCTAGGCCTCATACTGAGTCGGAGGAATGGCACAATTACCATGTTAGTTTCGTCAAAAAGCTGTTTGCCATTATCGACAAGTTTCACTTGTACAAGCTAAAAGTTACAATGTCTATTGACAAATGCAGCTTTCCTCAGATGAAGTTCGGAGCTGCTGTTCACTCATTGAGGTTCAAGAAGTGGGCTTTGTACTACCAGGTCTATGATAGAGTCAAGGGAATTGAGGAGGGTCCGGTCAAGATATCCCGTGGTAGCGAATATGACCTTAGACTTCTGGGTGTTTACAGGAAGGAGTTCTTGAGTTATCTCAAGTATTAACAGTTGCATATTCTGGGAGCTGGGATGCAGGACAATTTTGAGAGGTGACTTAGCAGGGTAGTCGTTCGGGGTTGTTGGGGCATGGCTTTCGGAAAGGCCGCCATGTGCTTTTTGCGAATATTTCCCTTTTCCCTTTGCTTTACATTTCGAAAAAACGGAGGATGAATTGTGATATGGGAAAGTACTGGTCTTCGGTGAAACTTCACATAGTAATTTAACAGAAGATGAACGAACGTCCTTGCATATAAACAATGATTTGATAATGAGAAGTGAATATAAAGTGATCGTATGAATAAAACTGTCAAGCTTGGCTTTGGGGCACCTGTTTTCGCCTTGCTAAAGGTCTACAGTACGGCCATGAATGTCCATAAGGCGCAATTGCTAGTGGTTGAACAGCAAGGGAGATTTGAATACTTAAGAGACTCTGAATTCATCCTTTAGCGAGTTTCTTCTCGCATACAACATCCTCTAGTCAACAGTAAACTAACTACCTCACATTCAACACCAAATCTTCTAACCTCCTACATCGCGCTTTTATTAAAACTTTTACTCAATACTTCTCTATTATCATCATCAAAATGGGATGCAAAAATGCTCGAGGTAGCACAGCTCAAAGCCACACTTTGAGAAGCACGAGAAAGTTTCAAGTCGACTCGAAATGACGAAAAGCCCCCACAGCATTATTAATACCTTCTATTAGGCTAGAATTTAATTTAATATGTATCTAGACACATACAATTTCCCACAAATTAAACTGGCAGCCGGCTTGTGGGGCTTGAAGCGCAAGAATTGGAAGTTGACCTTCGAGGTTCACGAGTTTGAGGGTGACCACATAGAAGGTTACTCGTGGTTCGGAGTTTGGCCGTGGATTTTCGGGTGTTTACAAGAAGGAGTTCTTGGGCCAGACAAAGTAGGAATCGAAAGGGGATACCCGCCAATGGCTTAGGTTGATCCGAGAATTTATCGCGGCATATATCTTGTGGTGGCGTGTCAGCGATGGTGGAAAAGATCTATGACGGATCAGTTGCAAGATTGTTTGCAACCGGAAGGTTATGGGTGAGCCCTGCGGGGTCTGCTAGTAAATTAACTAGTAAATATCAAAAAACACACTTATATATGCCGCCGTTCTCTGAAATACAGTATTAAACCCCATGGACTACATGGATTAATAAATGGTCTTATACTAATCACGCGACAATAACTAGCTGAAAGACCCACCCCCTTCGAATCAATGGCCGTCGAATATCTTGATTCGGTCAGCCAAGAGAAATGTACGTTTATGAAAGACCAAGTCAATCACTTATCCAAGTGGAAGTCATTTCACGCGCTTCGCCAACCCAGCTCGACGCGTTCCTCCGTGATCTTTGATCTCACCCTGCTGCTTTTCGAAAAACAATATAATAAAGCCCCTCTAGTCAAATTTTCAGAAGAGGGCCGACTGCTAAGGAGGTAGATATGATTGCTCTGATTGGACTAAATCTCACCACCAATAAACACACTAAACGCAAATTTAGTGTCGCCTGAAGGATTGGATCCTGAGGACACCAACTTGGCCACATCGTGTTGGAACAGCTTCTTCAAGATACTGTTGGGTTACGCAAGTAAGTAGTAAGATTTTTCCATGTACCGGTGCTTGTAGTGTTGGAGAATGGTGTTTTCGGAGGTGTGCGTACGTGCGACGCGAAGCAGCGAGGAGGGGTATGTGAAGATATCACGTGAACTCGCAAAATTTTGTTCTATGAGGAGCAGAATGCAATGAGCCAATATTTTGAAATTGCCCAATGATTTACTAACTAAGCGTTTGATCGCATTGGATATACACTAAAATTGTTGAAGTGCCTCACTTTTTGGCATGGATAGCTCCTCTTGATGTACTTCGGCACTACATTCAGTCTTCGAATGTCCGTTATATAAAAATACACAGCAGTCTTCAATTCGCTAGTCTATAAAGTAACACAACTCCATCAAATCACTGCCCCTTAATCCAACAAACACAATTTATTTCGGACAGTTCTTCCCATCCTTTTCATCCTTTTGTCATATACAGCAACAGAGACAACATTCACAGCAGCACACACCACCAACAATTGCAGCACTATTTCATGGATGATTAGTATGAAATATTGTCTTATTTGCAAGCAGACGGAAATCGGCTGAAATGGTGAGAACTTACTCTCTTCCCGTACGAGAATGATGATGGTGATGGTGATGTCCACCCCCTCTTAGATTTACTGGAGATTCGGATACTGATGATACAGTCATTTCGTTGATTAGTTTCTAAGAAAAGATATTAGTGAAAGCAAGTGCTTGAAATTAGGGGCGAAGACGAACAGGTTGTTCGGTATGGATAGGAGAAGGAATTTGTGGGAGACTCATGGAAAGAGAAGAATGAAGGCGCTGCGGCTGCTGCGAATTCATTGATGAAGACATGTTGGACACGAGAGTATTGAAGCTTTAATTCAAGTTCTCAATTCCTGCTTCAGGACCAGGAAATAGACGATGATAGTGTTTGCGATTGGGCAACCAAAAGATAGGCTTTCACAACAAGTAATGCAGCATTTCAAGCCAAGATCAATAAGAACATCAAAAAAGCTTATTTGAAAGATTTATAAGTAGAGACATACTATAGGCGCTGGGCTGTAGGCGGTGTTTCCAACTTTCGGGCTACTGGCCTAAGAGTCGGCCAAGCCAACAACATTCTGAAAGCCATTTCAAAGGTTGGCTATCCTCGTATCGAATAGACTTCGGCCTTTGCAAAGCAATGATGATATCGAAAAAATCATCCATTGTCTTTTAAGAACGACTACTCTGCCTGGCTGAATTTCCCAGAAACGACGAATGGGAATCCAAAAATTGAAAACTCGCTACACGCACGTAGACGGCCTAAGTGGCCTGTTGGCGGTATACTATGGCGGCGGCAAAAAAGCTTAGAATTGCCGCCCAGTGATGGATTGAGGTTAAATAAAAAGAAGTGCTGGAATCACCATTTGGACAGGGGTTCGACAAGACCTGGCGGATTTTATAGCAGTTCCTGCGACTAGGCTCAATGAAAGTTTAGCTTGAATGAATGCTTGTTAAATGAAGCTTGAGTAAAGTTGAAGGTAAATACAAATTGGTGAACAACTAACAGTCCTGATCTTCCACCTCCTTATCGTCCGCTGTCCTCTCAATCTGATAAGTTTGATAGCCGAGACAAGTAAACTCTATATTATGATAATCACTTTTCATTTACTCTATGGTAAGTCCATCGAAAAGATGATCCTCCTCGTATCTAAGATCGTATCTCTTTTGCGAGCTGCTTGACTCTCTCAACTTTCTAATTTTTCTTGTGATTCCCTCGGCTAATTTCCAAACTCGCGCTCTATTCCTCCCTCCCAATATCCGCCTTTCGTAGATTTTAACTCGATCATATATTTCTTTCCAATCGAGGCTTTGTGGTTTCAGCGCAACACAATCTTTAACAAATTGTTTGTGCTCATCATAACAATTTCCTTCTTCTTATCTCGAAATATCATCTACAAACTGAATAACATACAGCTTTCGGGTTTGTTCCAAGTTCCAGTGTTTGAAATTCATTGATTTCCCAAAACCATGGAAGTTCTTTGAGAATTAGATGTCGAAAGACTTGTTGGGATAGTTGGCGAAATCCACAAGATACATAACGGAGGCTCCCGATATCTTGTGCTTGAAGATTGAATAGAATCATGTTCCTGAGTTCGAACGGAAGTTTCGAGAATGGATCTGTGGGGTTTACATATACTGACTTTGGCGGTGTCCTGCATGGTTTCCCATGTAGATAACTTGGTCATTTCGCCGTTCGCGTGGTGCGTAATGGTAAGTAAGTCTCCAAGGCCATCCGATGGAAACCTACAATATCATGAGGGCTTGCCGCCATGTACTACCAATTCATGACCAAGACACTCTATAGAAATCGAACGATGAGAGAACTCACTTCTGTGCCAGGAAAATGGGACCAGGATCGTTGTCTGCATTCGTTTGCAATAGGCTCTTGCTTGATAGTTTGGAAACCGCAAGAACCACATGCTTACCTCTAAAAGAATCATAAGCCAGCATTGACGAACGAGCATTATAACCAGCACTTACATACCAAAGGGCTATAAATCCTTGAAAATCGACCCTTCCCAGTCGAAGCTTGGATACACGTTCGAAGATTTTCCAGCAAGCATCGTGAATAGGTACACCGAAATATTTCTCCTCATCTTGATTTCGTAGTTCAGAAAAAGAAAGATCCTGCGCCGTAATGATCTCTTGGAAGATTCCTGGCTCGTAGTGATCCTACGCTATAGTTGTCTGGTCTGTAATGAAAAATATCACTACATTTTTCATAATCGGCCGCATCTTTCTCTTCTGGAGCATTCTTGGGCTTTTTAATGATGTAGGAAGATGGATTGTACCTACCTTCAGTTCTTCCACAGAAATACAATGGCAGCTGTACCCTCCATTAAAAATGGAACCTAAACCAGCAATATGCACACTATTTACCCCGTGCACAGTGATATCCTCGCATCCACGTTCTTCATCCGCTTCCAAACAGGAGGATGTGTCTCCAGAGTATCCAGAGCGATACAATCTATTTGAGTAACCCAACCAGCTTCCGCAGCTTCATATCTTGTACGGCATCGTGCTAAATCAAACGACACGCCACAAATCTGGCAGCAGTTCTCAAGATAACCCATGGTGGACTTTTTAATACGGGTAGCAATCAGTATTGTATCTCAATAGGAATTGATGTACACCCCGGATATTGGTGTTAAATTTTCTCGGACGAACTACCTTCCCATATGCGTCGTTATCATTGTCTGCTAGACGGGCGTGGCCTCAACCGATAACTTTTTATCTTCATGTATGGAGTTCTCGGCGTCATAGGTTAACGCAGATCAGCATCAGTTCTGCACAGCCATGGATTCCACAATCGTGGAAGTGAGTGCGGCCAGGTAGGCTCCAAAACCTTACTGCTGTTGGGTATAGTAATATAGAAGGGGTTATATATAATTCCACTCGTGCAATATTAATAATAAGACAATTCTCTCCACACCTACGACGCAAACCTTTCACTGCTCCTATATTAAGGTCCGTCTATCGCTATAGCTCTGTAAAGCTTGATAAGCTGGCTTTACCCCGCAGTACAAGTGATCGCAAGCGTTTAGGTGTCGGATAGGTCCGAGCGTCTTGAAGTGTATGCCGAATATCTGCCGATCGACCCCTCCGAACATCCAAACCTCTAAACTATCTTTCACAGTATCTGAAGCAAACGAACTCATTCACGCTTCCTGTACAACTTCCTCCCTAGACCTCAGATTAGCCTCGCAGAACCAAAGAATCATGGCCCTCGAACACGGAAACCCCGCCGACCTCCTCCCTATCCACTGGAAATCACAAATCACAGCCTGGTTTGCAGAAGATACTCCCTCCTTCGATTATGGCGGATTCGTCGTTGGGGATGACGAACGAACTGCGACTTTATACGGAAAATCGCGAGGCATATTGGCAGGTGTACCATTCTTCGACGAGGTATTTGCACAAGCTGGATGTTCGGTGGAATGGCATATGAAGGAGGGAACATTAGTTGATCCTGGCGCATCCGGAAAAGTAGCCGTGGCTACAGTTACAGGGCCAGTACGCAAATTATTATTAGGGGAGAGAGTTGCGCTTAATACATTAAGTCGCTGCTCAGGGATTGCGACGAAATCAAGGGATATGGAGATTTTGGTTAGGAAGGCGGGGTATAAAGGGATTCTTGCTGGAACGAGGAAAACTACACCGGGGTTCCGGATGGTGGAGAAATATGGAATGATTGTTGGGGGTGTTGATGGACATAGACATGATCTGTCTAGTATGACTATGTTGAAGGATAATCACATTTGGGCTAGGGGAAGTATTACTGATGCCGTTAAGGCTGCGAAGGCGGTCGGTGGGTTCTCGCTAAAGATTGAGGTAGAGGTTGATAGCGAGGAAGGTGCTGATGAGGCTATCGCCGCTGGGGCTGACATAATTATGTTGGACAACTTTTCAGGAGATGGGTTGAAAGTAGCTGCGAAAAGTTTACGGCAAAGGTGGGCTGGGAAGAGGGAGTTCTTATTGGAGTGTAGTGGCGGACTCACTTCTGAGAACGTGGAGACGTATATCAATAACGGTAAGCTTAGCGCAATCCTTTTTAGCAGATTATTCCTAATTTTCACATTTAGATATCGATATAATATCCACGAGTTCGATACATCAAGGTGTACCTCATATCGATTTCTCTCTGAAAATCGATCATTAATGAATATATAAAGATGAAATAATATACATTACTCCGCATAATACATGTCACCACATCTCCTCGTTCATGAGCTTTAATTGCGATCAAATAGTGGGTCTATATCTCAGCTACATAAGCAGAAAGACTGAGAGTTTTCCTTTCATGTGACAAAGTACTCAGATTGAACCTGCCTGGATGCTTCATCACGAGCTGTCCCAGTTGCTCATTCAAGAAAGGAATCAGCTCCCCCGTGAAGTATATGTACCCCACTATTTCTCTTCGAGGTGCCTCCGTCTTGTTCCGGTATAGTCTCCCATTCCATCCTATCCCAAAACCAGACCAATTTTTCTACGAAAGTTGAAGTGGTACCCAAGCCCGACCTTATGATACTCGATATGCACTACATTCACATCATTAGTTTTCCCACCATTCCATAGTAATTAAAGACTGTGCGCTCACTCGTAAACAACTTCTGCCCCCTTCCTCATCCCACTACCAACCCACATCCCACAATTGACCTTCCCACTATATCTCTCATCCCCTGTTTCCATTTCAATAAATATCCTAAACTTATAACTATTTGGATCGACTTGATCAGCCAACACAGGGTCTGCTAGCTGAGCTAATATTTCAGGAGGTCCGGTTCTCCATCCATGAGTCTTTATCGCAATATAAGCTGGTGGATCATCATGAGTCTGTAATAGGTAGTTTGTTTCTAGACGAGCTGATCCATCGGGTATTATTAATTGGCTATCTTGGCCTCCAGGCTGTGACATATTAGTAATGAAGACGGAGAAGGAAGGTCAATGTACTAAAACTGTTCCTGATCCCCATGATCCAGACCACATACCACCGGTAAACGATATCCAATTTCGATGTCCAAATGGTGTTGGCCCAACTGAGATCCGAGGATTTAGGGAAACAGACATGCGAAAATCGAGATTTAGACTTGGGTGTGGGAGTGATAGATCTGGATGGGGATATGTAGATGCGACTTGGTTACCACTGTAAGCGATTAGCACTCTGATTGTTGACAAGAAGTTTTTCATTCAAAATTGAGATTTGAGCATTCGAGTACTGGCTTTTCAAAAAGCCGAAGATTTCCAATGAGAGATTTCCGTGGAATTGGATGAACAATGAAGTGTGATTTTATAGTAAATGATGCATTAAATAATATGAAATAAATACAACAATCACTGAGATGTTCTCAGGAAACGCTGAAATGACATACTTAGAACCATAATCCATATTCCACATAAACGGTCGATCGTGCGATGGAGACTTCCACTCTCGAATTGTTGATCCTTGTATTCCAGCAATAGGAGTAGAACTCTCTTTCCACCCAGCTGACATTCGAGAGTTATCAGTATCAATGCTACTCCCGAGGTTTCCCCCTGCGATTTCAGGTCCATGTACAACCCAATCGTCTCGTGGTGCCGAAGAATTCATTACGTATTGAGCTTTCAAATGATTGATTTCTTCTTGACGGGCTTTTGTGTTATAAAGGATGAGTGACAGTGGTGGAACACGGGATTGGAAATATATGAATGATGAAGATGTTTGTTTGGCCGAGGTCTTCGGATTCTACATGATAAAACTACCTCGGGGAAGGGCGTGCTTGCTTTGGCTCAGATCAATACCTTCCTCGTACAAATGGATTCATGAGCGGTTTAAAACTAGTGTCGTTATCTCGTCTCGCCTGGAAGACAGATATTGTTGCACTTACAATGCAACATTTTGGTCTAACCCAACACAATATTTCGAAGACCATATTGCAACTTGTTCTGCAGCGTGTTCTTGGCACAAGTGGTGGGGGCTGACATAAGCCGCATAGTTTGTGTGCCGTCCGGGAATATCCGGTTGAAAATCCTTCACCTCCGCCTCAACGACCACTAATCGTAGGCATTCAAGCCCCCTATTCAGTGACATGCATGTGGAGTATCAGCGAGGCAAAATTATTGTTCCGGGCACCGTGAGGCTGAACTCGAAGCTCGATTAAAAAGAGATATATAGCTTACTTCCCCAAATCTCCCGAGTTCAGAATCCAAAACACCAAAAGAATAACCACGAATGTTTAATTCGCCCCCGGTGGGTCTCGAACCCACAACCTTGGGCTTTGTACTCACAGAGAATGCGTAAAAGGCCCACGCGCTAACCATTGTGCCACGGAGGCTTTACAGAACATATTGGTTCTAATTGATAAACTCGAATCAGCTATTTCGTTATCAATTAAGATATATAAACAACAAACAGAAACCTTGAAGATAAATCGTCTATCAAGATTATTAAAAAGAAATGATTATAATAAAACCTAAAAGTATAAATTTACTATTGTGTATACTCCTCAAACTCTGATTGACTTGATTATAATCTAATAAAAATTATTATATAATTAATATATTTTATTATAATATAAGAATAAAATATAGATTATAAAATTGAATTATAACATCTGAATAATGAGATAAAGTCTAGCCAGTTCCATTCACGTGACTTCAGTATGCAGCTGTGATTTCGGCTATTTTCAGTACAGAACTAATCCAAGACCTTCTCCATACTAACTGGAACTAATCCTCCGCTTATTATCAAATTTTTTGCAGACTTTCTCTACATCCGTCAGGACTATAGATATTCACATAACGAGAGCTCTCTCATAAATAATTAGAAAAGCCTGCCCGGCTAGCTCAATCGGTAGAGCGTGTGACTCTTATGATTCAATATCTATGAGTTCTTCTGAAATCACAAGGTTGGGGGTTCGACCCCCCCGTTGGGCTCAATTCCCTTCAATAGAAATCTTTTTTGATACTCCTCTTAGTGCTATTTTTAGTATTTTTTGAAACTCCGAGAAGTAGAAAGAGTACAGCAAGAAAATATTTCAAGGCCCCCTCAATCTTTAACTTAAGTCCATTAATTGAGTACCGTTTCTCACATCACGGTGCCTGGTGGGGTTGCTACCATAACTCTATCGCTGACTTGTGTTTGCTTTGTTTGATGTCTGGCGGAGCATGGCGGGGCCCGCCCGGCCCTTCTCAAAAATTCAATCAAAAGGGAGCAAGACTCATCCCAGGCCAACGCCGAAAAGACACCAAAATTTTTTTGTCTCTCAGGCGCGAGTCGAACGCGCGACATCCAGATTACAATGTACAATTACAGTCTGACGTCATAAACCAACTAGAGGACCGAGAGTGTTTACGAGTTATGGCTCGAATGGTCACAGTTTGTTGTGTTTGTTTTCTCCCGGGCCAGAGTTTGAAATCATAGCTAACTGTATAAAAATATCGTGGGGCTGTGGGGTGAAGTTTTCTCCAAAGAGAATCTGCGTGGAGTCTAACATTGCAAGAACTTGCCCCAGGTAATCAAAGTAAGACTGATGGTGGAATCAACCATTAAACTTTCATGTTCTATGGTCAAGTGGCCTTCTTTTTACTTAATGGTTCTGTCATTGACTTATTCAACTTATATTGGCCGAATCTTCGGTAAACGAAGACACCCCTCAAAATTGATAAGACTTCTATTCCGAAATCCATTGCTCTCATCAAGTAGTCTTGACGGGTGAGGCAAGCCGCCCCAGTATGGTAGTGTTTCTGAACTTGCTTTTGGTTAGGATCTTGATGTATGTGTACTCTCAATAGTCAAAAAACTTTAGAGAAGTTTCAATCTACAATGAAATGAACCTTTTGAAACCCCGGAATATAGAATTATTTGAGATATTTTAATCCGGCAAATACTTCAGATTCAACAGACCCTTCAAAAAGGAATCCCCCCCCTCACCGGGGCAAAAGAGAATCTAAGATATTGAAAAAAATTGCATCGACTGACAACTTATAATATAACCAGCCTTCACGAGCCACCGAATCAAAGCTGCTAACTCTAACGGCAGGCGGACGGACAGAATGTGTGTCTAGGTCTGGCGGAAATATGCCACTCACCTCTCACGACGGACTGAACATCTCGGATCATCTCATATGAAGGAACTATAGCCTAGTTCTTGGGGTTTAGACTAAAAAAGCATGGATAAATCCTTCATTGAAAGGAACGTGTGTTATTCTAAATAAAAGCAATTTTATCTATTGTCCATCGAGAGTAAATATATAATGGAATGTTTGAGAGTACAGACAAAAAGGTAAGAGATGATGAGGAGATTGGTCATTGAAATGCATTAAGTTTATAAGAATAAAGCTATTTGGAGCTTGATGAGCACTCAATGCAAAGAAGTATTTGACAGTTGGATGCGGGACTGTATGGTTCTGCGAGAGTATCGTATTACGGAGAGTTTTTTGCTCTATGGTTGGCCGGATTCTGTTCTGGTTTCGATTGTTTCATGTTTGCAGATTAGATAGTAAATGGATCAAAAGCGAGTTCACATGCCATTTAATTGGTAAATGTAAAGGAGACTTTTTGTCCGCTGGAATAAAAATGTAATCGATGTGATCGATACACCAACATCATCACTGGCTCAAGAGTCCACTTTCGATAGTACCGCTAACTCTCTAAAAACAATGAAGTATAGAACAAATCCAATGTTTCAAATCCTATTGCTCGTGAGCTCCGTAGCTCCTTTACGGCTCCAACGATAGAGACCTATAATAGACGTAGGAACCACATTCCGACAATATCGCCAGTTGATCCCATTCCGATACATCGAGATATTTAAGTCGTGGCGAAAAATAAGAACCCCATGGGCTTCCGACCAGCGTCCTGTCGTTGCTGCTACCGAGCTCATATCACCATGATCTTGAAACCTCACGACCACCTCCGTCATTCGCAAGAAATCTTCACGTGCAGGCATCAGTGCGTTGTAGGGAAAAATAAGATGTGTGGGTATGAGCTGAGCGTTTTGATGATGATTCCCGTCCAGTGTATATTCAGGACTGTTTGGGTGTATAGCCTCGAATCCCACCTTATCATATTTCATGGGGTTCCAACTTCGTATTTTTTCAAGAGGTTGGGGAGCATTGTAGAATGCAGATGTCATGTTGCAGCGTTGTACATGTTTTCGATTGCTTTTGTTGAGAAGCAATACGTTGCCGAACTCGCTGTTGTATACAAACGTTACTAAGAGGGGCATTAGCTGGAGTATTTGGATTTGTTCGTATTGAAGACCTTTGTCGGAATTATTAACTCCATTTTGTGGAAAGAGAGAAGCCATTCTTAGTTTCAGAATCTAATAATGATTGGCTGCTATAGTACTATGGCTATGAATATCGGTTCAGAGGAAGAGGATAGCCAGACTGTTTGAAGCGTAAGATTAGAAAATGAAACTCTGTTGTGTAATTTTGTTGTTATCATTACTTTGTACTCGTATATTCTGTTGTGTAGACAGGTATTATAATGCTGACCGGAAACAATGTGAATAATACAGTGTATGGCTTAAAGGAAGGAGTTGAAGTGAACATTGGTCGATCTAAACGAGAAGGTACCATGCCGTGAGCAAACTAAAATTGAAAGGATGGAACGACTTTTGGTAAAGTGGAAAGATATGAAGGAAGGACATTCGAAACCCAACTAAGATCTTGTTTTCTGGTAGAAGAGATTATTTTCTGATGAGCATGAACCTCAGATTTCTAATAGCGGGGGCGGCAGTTCAACAATAAGAAAAGATTCCTAATCCTTAGATTCATCTTATGTGTTAGGCTGAACCAGTGGAATATTCAAGTAGGATAAGTATTGAAACGTTGAAGTATTAAAGATTAAGTCAGTAGACATGCTTAATGAGAAAAAGCGCACAGTTTCGTGTTGATTTGTAACTTATTGAACATTGTAAAATCAAGCAGTTTAGATACCTATTCTAGACAGTATACTACAGCAGGTTTTGGTGATGTGATGATGGCGCGATACAATGCACCTGAGGAAAAGCATCAGCTGGTCATGACCAAAGTTTAAATTATACCGGATGTCTTATTCATGGGCATGTTTGAGTCTAGAGATTCATAGGGAGAGCACCATGTCACTAGTACTGCCTGAGGAGCACCCATCTTGCCTTTTGAGTTTATGAGTAAAAGCAAGATGTCAGTCATAGTTACCATCTTTTTAAAAGGACATAAGACTATCAACCATTACACTATTCTACAATGAGCTAGATTCTACAGTGCCAAAAACGGAGCATGGTCATCCCTGTACATTGTAAGATGTGCAACATAAGCTTTCCATACCAGAAACACGAATTAACGAGTTCGAAGCTCAATAGACTAGTTTTAGGTCCCGTTAATGGTCGCAACTAAGTCTCGATAGTCCAAAGTTAGCCCATTAGCCCTTTCAATACCCTTGCATAGACATGCAACAGAACGATAATTCATATTTGCAAGAAGCAAACTGTCATGAGAACGATAGCATCAAAAAGAGTATAGGGGAATGCATAGGGAACTACCATAGATGTTAAATGAACACTTCTACCCAGCAATTCCATAGCGAGCATTCTAAATACTTATGTAACCAGCGAGCAGGTTAAACATCAACCGGCCTTTTCAACGATAAGTTAGAACTCAACATAGTCTTGCAAGTGCCACGCAATAGATAATCTCGAAAGTAATTGAGTGCATTCAAGGGTAAACTATGGCCAAAACCAAAAGATCAGATGAAACGATTAGTGAAAAGATCGAAAGGTCCAGCATAGTAGCAAAATCAAGACTCAGCTTACACTTTACGCCAAAGTGCTGCGCATTAAAGATACATGCTATTCGGAGAAGAAAAGGTAGGCCGGAATTAACCACAGGAACTGATATTATATTATTGTAATAAAAATAATATATTTATAACTTTTCCTTGTTATTAAATAAATATAATTAAAAAAATATATAATTAATTATTATATCAAGTCCTTTATTTCTTTATTTAAATTATGAAGAATAAATCAATTAATGACTCAAATTGAATTAGAATTTATATTATTATATGAGGTTAGTTATACATTGGCCAATTCCGATCTGTCTTTTTCTCCTACGAAGAGCATGTAAGTTGGCACGTGATGCGGTGAAAATGCATCAAGCGGCCGCATAACCGCTTGAACCTCGATGTTGACTTTCTACTTATTTTCTAAGCAAATATCGGTCACGTCAACACTCCATAAAATGAAGCGCATCAGTCAATTACCCCTGGTGAATGGCCTGAATGGCCTACGAGTATACCAATGTCGAACCGTAGTTCCACTGAGCCAAAGATGTATACACACAACGCCACCATCGCCCGCAACAGTTGCACCTGCCGCATTCACGGCATCTGGGCCACCGCCAGCTGCACCAACTCCTAGCGCTGAGCAAGTTGATATCCGGGTCGCTAGGAAGAGGAAGCAAGCAGAGTTACTCAAAAGGGGTCAAGATATGAGAGCTGTGGCTAGTGGGAAAGGTGGTGGAACGGCGAAAATGAAGAGGTTCTGGAAGGATGTGAATATACAACATACGGAAGGTAATATTTGTTGATTTTCTATTTTACATTGAGAAACAAGTTCACTAATCAGTGTTGCAATATCAGAGGGATTGCAGATTTTCCTCGACAAACGAGCCCTTCGACGACCTTCTAAAGAAATTCTCACAATACCACATCATAAGCCACATTTAGCATCTGCGATTGCTCTCGAATGGGATCTCCTCGTATCAGCACAACAAGCTTTGAAAACCCATCTTATCCCAATGACATCTCTCATGAATCGCGCTCTCGACATAATAGATGAAGAAAAAGAGGGGAATAATACGATAAGAGATAACATTGTCACAACTGTGATGCGATATCTCGATACAGATTCCCTTTTATGTTGGGCACCTGAAGCACCTGAAGATCCACCAGGATATGAAAGTCATGTCGATAGAGTCGAAAGTCTACGAAGTATCCAGGGGAGGTCTGCGGAACCTATAATCCAATTCTTGTCCGAGAAGGTTTGGCCTGGGGTGGAACTTATCCCGGTTTTGGACACGGATAGTATTGTACCTAAGAGTCAACCACAAATGACCAAGGATATAATAAGAGGATGGGTCTCTGGGTTACTCCCTTTTGAGCTTGCAGGATTGGAAAGGGGTGTATTGGCTGGAAAAGGCTTACTTGGAGCTGCACGACTAGTGGTTGAATGGAGTACTGAATTTACCCATTTACGGGATGAGACTGCTGAAAAGACATTCGGCATAGAAGAGGCGGCCAAAGCTGCAAGCTTGGAAGTGGATTGGCAAATTGGTATGTGGGGAGCTGTTGAAGATACACATGATGTTGAGAGAGAAGATATCAGGAGGCAATTGGGCAGTGTAGTATTACTTGTATCTGGGGAAAGGAAATAGGTAACCTGTACCTTGGTCTTCAAAGGCAATATAAACCATGTTACTGATCGAATTATGATCAAGTAAAGATTCAAAGTTCAACCTCGCACTTATATGAACTGATCATATGAAAGAAGTGACCCTTCCCGCAGGGCTTCAGTACAGTTATAAATGAATACCTGGGCGGCTAGCTCTTGTAATTGATCCTCCTACAGCAGAACCTTCTTGATTCTTCATGTTGATGCCATTGTTCATTACAGGTGACTGACAAACAGACATGATTTGTATCAGCACTCAACCATCGGATCTTAACCTTGCATTTCTCCAATCTTGAGCAAATTCCGCATCTCAATGGCTAAAAATTCGAGAACATGGTACTTATTCTCTTATAAATTCAAACCTGGATAGATCATTCAAATTGGCATGATAAAAGGACAATCCCTTTGACTTCATTATTTACTTAAAAGAAGTTTTTGATATCCACCAGACAGGCATTGGATACAATCAGACCCAGATCTCGCACAGTCTTTAACCCCTTTGCTATCCATTATCAATTACAATCATCCCAATATCATAATAAGAAGCACTGTAAGGGGCAATTCATTAAGCCATCAAAACCTTTTGAGTTTCTTTTCTTCAGATTGCACAGCTTCAATCCTCAACTTTCCAGCACATATTGAATAATCACAACCCGAAAACTTACACATTTAGAAAGTCCACATACATTAAAACTATATATCTAGACAACATACTGAATGTATGTAAGCTTTGATGGAGAGAAGACCTCAGATATACTCAAATCCCGCAATCTTACGAACCGTAGCAAATATCCTTCATACCTACCTGATTATACTCATTCCCACCATTTTAGCAGGTATCAAGTAATAGACGCTCTGATATCTTCGCACCATTTCTCTAAATTTCTTTCTCGATTTATGGTTTCTATTCTCCTCGAGTAATAATGGCAAGCCCATACTTTCATCTCACCTCCCATCTCATTCCTCCTACCTTCTATCTCCTCCCCCACCCATCCCCCACTCCTCCCCCGACCACACATCAATAAAATCTGCCCTCCCAGAAAGAAACTTCTCAAATAACCCGCTTCAACAACCTCTCCCAACCGCCCCTTGCAGAAAAAATATCCACCCCCAAAATCCCCCACCACACAAACCACTCATCATCATCATCATCATCATCATCATCATCATCATCATCATCATCATCATCATCAACAACAACAACCTTCGCCTTCGCCTTCGCCTTCGCCTACAACTCAATCATCCACCACCATCACCACCCCCGCACCACATCACCACCATCATCAAAACCATTAACCACTAAAACCCGCAGCATCTCCACCTACCACTACACTCAATCAAACTCTAAATTCCAAATCATTAACCCAACCAGTACTCGACTATTCCCTCCTTACATTCTCCCTATATTCTCTCTATATATACATCAGATTATCAGCTCATTCAATACATACATATATATAAAAACACATACGCCTAATCAACCAATTTCAAATCTCCACCAACACCTACCTAATGACCAAAGCAACCCAAGCAGTCCGTTCCATTTTATTTGAGTAACCAATATATATAGATATAAATATCTATCTAACTATAATCTAGATTTTAAATCAAATTAGCGAGTTATACATATACATGGACAGATTCTAGAGTTTATTATATAAGTATCTATTTATACAATCATTCCTTTCCTAGATGCGTTTAGTTATAATTAGACAATGAAAACTTGAAAAGCGAAAAGAAGATGGATGCTAAGCGAAAATCCCATGCGTCAGGTTTAAAAATTAACTCATCTATTCTGCTTCTGCTGTACAAAACATTTTTCACATTTGTTAAAACTTCTCGACTTCGTTAGAATGATATACATTATCTATATTGACTGGCTGACAGCCCTTTAACTACTATCTACTAGATTATTCATGTATGTATGTATTTTCTTGTGTATCGTTGCGTCTCATGATAAGCCACCCAACTTATTGCTAAAAGTTTAGGTCGACAAAAGGAAATGCTATAGAAGAAGATTTATACTTTACATTTATATATCCTATAACCCTTTTCTACCGTTCTATTCACGATCATCATCTTCCTTTACATCAAAAAAGATATCTTCAACACCTGCCCATGCTTCTCCAGTAGGAGCCTTCTCCCGCTCATTCCAATATTTGTTATTGAAAGCCCAGTATTCCTCTCCAGTGGTTGGACATTTCGATTTCTCGAACCAGTGAGGAACGAAAGCTTCGCCACGCCTTTCACGTTCTTGACGTCTGGCACGTTGTTTCTCTTCGAGACGATTCTTCTCCGTGGCAGCCATATCGTACTCGCCATCCTCCATGGCACGCTGATCAGGTCGTAATCGAGAGTCTGTGGGTGGCAACCAGGGGCGAAGGTTATCGTTTATATCGTTGAAAGTGAGAACAAAAGGAGTCAGATTGAACGGGATTCCGATGGGTCGTGGATTAGCTTCCCAAACCAGAAATGCTTGACTTGGGTCATTTACACTGCCTGGACGGCGAGAAGGATCAGATTTTGGTTCTTCAACGGTTGCCTCATAGCCGGGCGTGAAACGGGCATAAATTTTGCTGTTCCAGCGACCACCAAGACTGAATCGAGTTTGACCATTTGCATCGTTGACCCTACCAGTAATCTGATATGCGCTGGAAGCTTTCCAACCTCTTGCCTTGAATTCAACGTTGCACACTTCACCCGTTGTCCAGTTCTTAATCTCCATAGGTCCATAGTTATCGACTACGGGGTTACCAGTGATAATACCAACAACGGAAGAGGTGACCTTTTTCCAGGTATATAACTCTTCTGGACCACCGGCTGTCGGTCGAAGTTTGAGAAACCAAGTGCCGAGAGGATTAATATCGAAAGACTTGCCATAAAATTTGGACTTCACAGCCGATTCTCCATAATAAGTCCATTTTGGAGACTCAGCCCATGCAGCACCAATTGGTGGATGATGACTGACTTGCTCGATAAAGAATCGATAATTCTTGTCCGGACGAACATATTCAAAGGTTTCGCCAAGAAGAGGATTAAAAGGTTTTGCTACTCTATTGATGGTAGATGCATACTCACTTGAGGCAAATGCTGCAACATATACCATACGCTCGATTGAATCCGCTCGATCGGCTGCAATGTCCAAAAGATCTGCGTATTCCATATCTTCACCGCATCGATAGAGTAATGATGTAGGTTCGTTAAAGGACACAGGAAGCGTCATCTTTGTCATGTCCTTGCCAATCATAGACTTCAGGATACCCTTAAAAAGTGTTAGTGATTACAAGATAATTGGGTTCAAGCACATACCCATAGAGAAATCTTTGGTCGATCATCAGCATCCATCTTGAGACGAGTCCGTATGCCATTTTCATATCCCTTGAAAGCAGAACTGATGTCCACTCCCTCCACTTTGACGAGTTGACTCTCTTTTCCCTCCTCAGCTTCAGCTACATCAGGGTATGAAGGTGGTAGAGCTTTGACCACTTCTACTTGTCCAGCATCAACAGCATCAAAAAATTCGGCATCATCGTCAGAGTCCGTATCAGAAATATCAGGGAGGCCTTCAACAATCGCTTTCTGTCGCAGTGAGCTTTTACTAGTCGGTACATGTCTCAAAGGAGCGGTGCCGTCATCATTGAGGGAAACATCATCAAGAGCTTCGGTTACTCCGGCCTCCGTTGATGGTTCACCTCTACTATCAGGTCTAGATGCCGTTCGAGTGACTTCACGAAGTACTCGCTTTGTCAGCTTTCTCTTTTCTTCCGATTCGCCCATGCGAGCCATTAATTCATCTTGTTCACGAGCTACTTGAGCCATGCTTTCTTCCCACATTCGTCGCATGTGCTCTTCTCGATCAAGACGATGTTGCCAATACGCATCTCTATCTTTGGATATTTTCAAAAGATCACCGACAAGACCCTTGAGATTACGAATGGCCGAATCATAGGTCGCGGCTGCTTGGCTTGCAACCGGGTCGGAAATGACAAGATTTGGATTTCTGGATTGCTCTACTTGTAACGCGGCATTTACTTGTCCCATGAGTTCAAGTTGAAGTCGAGCAGATTGAGCCGTGATTTCAAAAGCATCCTTGCCTGCCGGCATCTCGTGCTCACTAGAACCATCGCCATACTCCTCATCGTAATCTCCATCCAAAGGCCCAGTTCCAAAATGGCTTGTTACTCTACCCCCATCACCCAGGAAACTTAGGTTGTATGATCCATAGTTGGTTTCCTCATCATCGCCGACACTACCAGCATTGCTTGTAAATGCGACTCGAGTACTTGACATTCTGCTGAGGCTAGTCTGAGGCATAAGCCTGCCACCCTGAATGCTCTCACGACGTGAATCCGTGTAGACAAGGGATGGCTCGTTGATTCCATTGTTGTCGGAGGTCTCTTTTGACCCGTTACTGGAGTGGTCTTTCGCCTGTTGTAACAACTCCAATCTCTTGGCCTCTTGTTTTTCCTCTTCCTTGGCCTGATCTTTTGTCCATTGAATAGAATTATTGAGTGCCCAAAACCACCTTTTAGCCTCAACCTCATGGTTCGCTTTGAGGTGATATTTTACAGATGACTTTCCAATAATCTCGAACTTGGTTTTCTCCGTGGGATCCATGTTGAGCGTTGCGATGCGCATGTTGATTGCACCACGGCAAGCGGATCCTGCATCATCCTGATGTTTGGAATAACTTAGAATGCCATCTTCTAGGGTAAACCAACGCAGCTGATAACCCTTGCGATAGTTTGTCCACTTTTTTAGATAGCCCTGCATCTCCCGACCTTCTTTACCAGCTAGAGCATCTGATGGGTTGGCATTTACTATTCCTTGTTGAGATGCGTTTCCAAGGACAGCTTTTTCTTGAATTCCACGTTGAGCGGCAACTGCAGCAGGAGACTTTTTCAACATGGCCTTGGTGGCGTCATCTTTTGTAACATCTTGCGGTAATTTCCCTCTTCGGTCGCGGCGGAAAGGATCAGCACCATGTAATAGCAAGACTTGGATGAGTTCGATATTCTTTTTCCTGGAGGCTTCATGGAGTAAAGTGCCACCAGAGTGAACCGTGATTGGGTCAGAACTGAATTCTCCACCATTAATATCCAAAACTGTCTTTACTCGGGATTCCTCCAAAACTTCGCCTAACGACTTGTAATCCCCTCGTGCAACAAGTTCCTGTATTTGTCTAATTTTGCTTTCCACAAATATTGAACGAGAGAGCTGTAGTTGTTGGAAAATATCCGGTGTCCGAGCAAGGTCGAGAGGCAGACGGCCAGCATAATTTGGCAATGAGTCGTTGATACCAGGCTGCTCAAGAAGCAAACGCACGATAGGGCCACGACCTAAGCTTGCAGCAAGATGAATAGCCGTATTTCCATCACGATCTCTTGCATTGA